TGGCGCAGCAGACCTCTCCTGATTTGCCTGCTGCTCCCCTCAGCAGTGTATTTCAGTCAGTCTGCCTGTTCGGCTCCCCACTCTGTCTCTGGTGAATCCTCTCACACCTCTCACCTCTGGCCTATACCCCAGTTCTATATGCATAAATAAATAAATCTTTAAAAAACAAACAAACGAAAAACCAAAATAGACAATAAGTTGTCAGTGCCACACCTGAACCTTGAGTTCCTTCAAACATCTGGCCATGCTCTGTTTATAATTACGTCTGACTCTTGCCTCATAAATCCTGGTCTTGAGCAAAATCTAATCATCTTTGCAAATGGCCTGTTCTTTCTAGTATAATTTATATAATCTTATAGAGGATCATAATAACTTTACCTTGAACGTTATGGTGGATGTTTTATCAGCATTATTAGAGACCCATTATTTGAGACCCAATAGTTTGACACATTAGAATTTTCTTTTATAATTAGGTAATGAACTCTATGAACTAGTGAACTATTTTCACTAATAACTAGGGAACTAATGAAAATTTATGAGAATAAACATATATAATCATTCTGCAACTGATTACAATGCAGCACATTGTTTTCCATGAAAAGGACATTCTATTCAATGTTCATGATTTTTTTTTTTTAATTGTGTGGGTAGAATTGGGGATTTAGGCTTTTTTTAGGGGGAAACAGGTTGTCTACATCTGGGTGACTGCTTTAAAAGAGAAAGATGTCTTGTTCTTATAACCTCTTTTAAGGAAGAAATGATTTTTGGTGATCATTCTAATCATAATTCCATTTTAGTTGGCTTTTCCTCATGTTCATCAGTAGTTATTTGGGCAAAGAATTAGTATAATGAAAACGCTGAAATATTCCAGTTATATTTGTTGTGATAATCTTTGTGGGAAAGATGTACACATTAATCTTAGTGGAATTTAAGAACAATGATAAACAGTCACATTTGAATTTGAATTTTTTTCAGAATGGAGAGAGCTGAATATTAAGAAAATAATAAGGAAAATTGTAATTATTGACTAAATAATTTTGATAATTTAAAACCTTGAAAAATGAAAAGAAAAAAATGCTGCAGTTTAGTTGGTAAAAGGGAATAAAAAGAAGGGATAAAAAAACCAGTAAATTTCATTTATCAGTAGGAAATAAAATGGATTATGCAAGGGGAACCATTTATTTCATTGGTACAGATAAGGAAAAATGCCAGAGTATTTTGAAATTGTCTTTATAACTACTATTCAAAACTGTGACGTGAGTTCAGGGTTCTTATTTGTAAGCAATAGAAACCAATTCTGGTTAACTCAGAAATTTATTGGAGAGCTATCAGCTCAAAGAATCAGTGAACAGTTTACTAAAATTAAAAAAAAAAAAAAAGGAAATACAAACACTACCAGAAGGACAGGAACCAACAGAGGAGGCAGCAGGAAATACAAAGTGCAGTCTCAAAACAATCTAATTAGGGAAATTGTCTTGGTCCCATTTCCTTTGTTGTTTGCTTTTCACTATTACTGTTATGTCACTATACTCAGAAGATGGGAAGTGGGAGACTCCAAATCACCTCTCAACCTCAGTTTCCCCAAACAGGAAAATAGTTCAAATATTGTTTAGCCCAAAAAGAGAAACAAAACAAATTAAGCAAAACCATTAGTGAGGCAGTATGTCTTATTGGGTCTACTGGCCTTCCAAATCCATGTTTATTCCTGTCTTTTTGTCCTTGTCCTTTTCAGTTACCCAGTTTCTCCTGTTCTCTCTTATTTATTTTATGTAAACAAATGGACATCAAACCAAACCATATTTCTGAAGAGTTTTATAAACATATTCAAATTGTCAATGGCCTGTAAGTAAAAATGTAACAGGGTGGTCCCAGCCCTGTAACAAAAATATTAACCAATTTGGGCCTCCCTGGTGGAGTTCCATGCCCTGCCTGCCAGGGAACAACCCACATGGCAAGGCAGATCTCTCCTGTCTTGCCCGCTGCTCCCCTCAGCAGAGTATTTCATCAGTCTGCCTGTTCTGTTCCCTGCTCTGTCTCTGGTGAATCCTCTCCCGCATCTCTGGCCTGTACCCCAGCTCTTGTATGCATAAATAATCTTTAAAAAATTATCCAATTTACTAGCCGTATAATGTTTTATCAGTATTCCTTTTGTGTGTATTTATCCTATTAGTAAGGTTGCTTGTATGCAATTTTTATTTTTCTTGGGATAATTTTAAATTTTTATCCACTATTGATTTGTTCACTGAATATTCTGATCCACCCCCCCACGTTCTTTTCAATGTTATTTATATTTTAAAAGGAAACAAAAGTTCATTACAATGAATGGAGCTGTAAGGATGGAATACCAGGTTGTGAAAACAAAACAATACAGTCATCTAAATTCAAGACCCTCCAGTTTGGGAGGTTGGTAAAGGGCAAGTATACTATAGCAAATGAACCTAGGTCAAGAAATGTCTGGAAGGCTTTTTCATTTACTAATGCATTTAATCCTGTACATCTCCTTAGCTGCTGCCTCAGATTATTTAACAATAATTATTTAACAATCAGTTACACTGCCTCAGATAGAAAGAGGACTTCACTTTGAATCTGTTATAGGACAGGGAGAGGGGCAGCCCAAACCCCGCAAACCTGCCTATTCTACATGGGTTCTGCCATCCGCCGCATCAACACAAAACATAGGAGACTTTAATGGGAAGGAACTTTAATAAAACTAGGAAACAATACAGGTAAGGCAAAGAGTCTAGTTTCTAAGTGAAGCACCCAAAGTTACCTGTCCCCTCGTGGGTAAAAGTCCATCCAAATGGGATTGGCCCAGAGCAAGGCCCCAAAGCCTGCCACAAGTCTAAAGCATCTTCCAGTGGGGACCCACAGAAAAGAGTCAGAAACAACCAGACAAGCCCGGAAGGAAAAGAGCAAAATCAACATCAAGATAAAAGCTGCCATTGTCACCTCCCCACGGGTCTCACCCACATCTGTGTCACCTAGTCCACGACCAAAAGACAAGCGCAGTTTCTTCACGTGTCTCTAGGCTCCATGTGCCTCCTCCAGGTCTCCTTGCTCCATCCTGCTTCCTTAGGACACATGGATCAGGCCATCTGTCACCAGGAAGCAGGCTCTCATAATGTAACAGGGTGGTCCCCAGGAAAGGGGGAAGTTCCAGGTTCCCTGCCCCACCCAAGGGAGGATGGAGCTGAGCAGGAAGAGGAGAAGCTGCAGAAGAGACTGAGGAAGGAAGCAGGATGGAGCCAGAAGGAGACCTGGAGGAGGCGCATGGAGCCTAGAGACACGTGAAGAAACTGCGCTTGTCTTTTGGTCGTGGACTAGGTGACACAGATGTGGGTGAGACCCGTGGGGAGGTGACAATGGCAGCTTTTATCTTGATGCTGATTTTGCTCTTTTCCTTCCGGGCTTGTCCGGTTGTTTGTGACCCTTTTCTGTGGGTCCCCACTGGAAGATGCTTTAGACTTGTGGCAGGCTTTGGGGCCTTGTTCTGGGCCAATCCCATTTGGATGGACTTTTACCCACGAGGGGATGGGTAACTCTGGATGCTTCATTTAGAAACTAGACTCTTTGCCTTACCTGTATTGTTTCCTAGTTTTATTAAAGTTCCTTCCCATTAAAGTCTCCTATGTTTTGTGTTGATGCGGCGGATGGCAGAACCCATGTAGAATAGGCAGGTTTGTGGGGTTTGGGCTGCCCCTCTCCCTGTCCTATAACAAATACATTTGCAATAGAATTGCAGAGAAGGCTTAATAACCTGCGAAGCACTCTACAGATTGTGGTGTATTTTGAATAACTAAATAAAGGTTGTTAACCTGAGGAACCCCTCCCCCATACACGCAGAATAATAAGAGCTGTATTGAGCCATCATATATATATATATATATATATTTCAGAGATGACTTCTCCACATTCCGTTGAGAGGGGCAGATGACACAGGAAGAGAAAACCCGAGAATTTAGCCCAGACTTGAATTCAGCTGTAGCCGAGCTGGGAGACTGTACTGTGGCGGGCCAATTCCCAAAGCACAGTGTTAAATTCACAACTATGGCCCAATGCAGGATTCGACTGACAGAAGACTGGCTGCAAATTACTCTTTCGTCCTCCTGCAAGGCAGTGGCTATCCCCGACGCCGGCTCCAGGCCCCAAGGAAGCAAGTGCAGTGCAGAGAAGCGTTAACTGAAAATTAGCCACGGCCCTTACTTGCAACTCCACCCAAATCAGACGTGGCTTTCCTATTTATCATCTGACTTATGTTTTTGGCAGCCCAAGCTCGGTCGCACTGTTTCTCGCCCCGCACGAATTAGGTCTGCGTTTTGTGCCCGGCCTTCTGCTCCCGCCTGCGCCGCCGGCCGAAGGGGCGGGAACGCCCCGAGCTGCGGCGCGCGGAGAACAAACACCCTCTGACGCAGAGCGTGAAAACCAGCCGGGAGCCCCGGAACAGCGTGAACTCCGCCAGAACTGGTCAGAAGCCACTCGAGTAAGGCTTTAATTCGTAACCATTTTCCTACTCTCCAAGTGCGTTTGCCGAGTCTTAGATCAAAGCAAAACCAGGAGTTTCCAGTCAGGCGGCCGAGCAGCGCGGGCGCCCCCTGGCGTCGGGTGACGCAACTGTGGGAGCGTCTGGTCCCGAGACCAGCTTCTCGTTTTTGGCCTGGCTTAGTCGGCCCCACAAATAGAATAACTCAGACAAGCAAAAAGCTCGGGGTGGGGGGGGGAGATAGCGAGCCCTGAGGGACCCCTCAAGCGAGGCAGACACGCGAACTAATACCACCCGGGGGCCCGGCGACCTCACGGCCTAGCAAAACGCCCCGCCCCGCCGTCTACTGCCACCCCGGCCGAAGCAGGCGCCAGGGGCTAGAGGGCGGAGCCACCAGAACTTCGCGCGAGACAATGCGCGCGACTTCCCAGAAAGCCTCGGGCAACATCTTAATAGCGGCCAGGGAGCCGGTTTAGGGCGGAAGAGTGGGCGGGGCCTGTTCGGATATTTAGCGGCCCTGGAGGCCACGCCCCCAATCGGAAGTGACGGAGACGAGCTAGCGCGTCGAAGCTACCTCTATGGTTTTCCTCCCGTTCTTGAGTCGGGAGATGGCCGCTGTGTAGTTACAACGGAGCTGAGTCCCGACAACCGTCCTTCGGCGTGTCAGGTAGGCCCTCACTGCATCTGAGCCACCCAATGGGCAGTATACACCGAGGACGAGTGGATAGTGTTGAATCTTTTGTGGGTGGTGACGAGTTGGCGGCCACAGTTGAACCCCGGAGACGGTGCGCCGTTATTTACGCGTTTCTCTGGAGGCTTCCCTCAGGCTTTTGAGGTACTACGGGCCGAAAAGGAGTTGTGTGGAGGGGGGGTAGGGTAGGCAGCGAGTACTGGGTGCGTGTGCGCGCGGTTGAGAACCTGGCTCGAGACCCGGAGACCGCGCGGCCTTCTCGTGCGCGTGCGCATCTCGCTCGCCAACCCTCCCCCCATTTCCTCGGCCCTGACCCCTGCGCGCGCCCGACTGGCACGCGTTCTGCGCACGCGCGCCTGCGCCTTTTCTCCCTTCGCCGCCTGCCGCCTCCGCTGGAGGTGCAAGTTGTGTTCGGCTTTCATTGGCTGGCGTCGCTGCTCTTCTTCCCGGCCTTTGGGGATTTGAGATAAAACAATTGACTCGCCGGGTACCCTGAGTAGGTCGACCTGTTCCCGCATCGTCTTTCAACGCCTTCTCCCAGACTTTGCTCCGGCGGTTTTTAACCTTCAGTTTTGTTTCACTCTGGCGGCGGATCCTGTCTGCATCTGCCTCTGGCCCTTGGGCTCGCCGGGAGATTATCCTCGGGGCCAGTTTCGGGGTCCCCCCCGCCCCCCGACAACCTACTCTGTTTTGAAAGTGAACGTGCACTCTGGACGCCTGGTGATTGTTTCTTAGCGTGGGGTGCGGGCCTTCGTTCGCGAGTCTTAGGAGTGGCCTTGCCACACCCGGGCCAAAAGGGCCGCTCTCCAGCAGCAGAGGGGAAGCCGCGTTCTTTCCCCGAGTGATTGCGCTCGTTGCTTCGTGGAGAAGTCTTGCCCACGATTGGTAGACGCGGGGTAAATGCTTGGGAGGGCGTGGAGGGTGTGTTGAGATGAGGGACTTTGCCCTCGTTTTAAGTCCATAAGTTGACTTGGCTTGTAAGTTTTATCTCAGAGTCAGCAACCCTGGCAACTACTTTTTTCTACATCCAAAAAAAAAAAAAAAAAGTCTTTTAGCCGTTTAGAATGTGTAAAATTAAGGCCAGAGTTGAAGGCAGTATGACCCAAATGTGATGTGACGAGAGTAGCTATTTCAGATGTGTATCATACCGTAGCGGTGGTTTTTATTAAAAAGCAGAACAAAGTCCCTTACCCCATATATGAATTCATTCCAGTCGGACTCTTGTTGGAGTAGTTGGGCTACTGTTTATAGACAGTAAAGAGTCATTGCATAGGAAAAGCTGCGCTACAACTTTACGTTTTTATGTCATCACAGCCAATTTAGGATTTATAACTTGATGGAATGGAGTGTATGTCTGAAGTGATACAACAGCTCAAAACTGTAGACTAATGGCTTGTGGAATCTTAAGATTATTGCATTCATTGTTACATTGTGGTAAATACTGGAATATCCTTAGTTCAGGTAATTACTATGGTGGCAAAAGAGAAAGTTAGGGCTGATTCTTGACTTAGAAGAGCAGTGATGTGGTAGAACTTTGAGAAATACCTGTAACAATTTGTCACTTGGCACACACAGGTCTCTTTGATTTTATTTAATGTCTTGAGTGGGCTGCTAGAGTTACTAGATTGTGTGAAGAAAAGACATAGAAATGGAGAAAAGATAGTCCGTTTAATACAGGGTTTTGAACTGGGAGATTCCAGAAACTACATTCAAAATCATTAGTTGAACACTAGTCGTATTGCGCTTTGTAATTTACAGTGATTTGTCATCAACAAAGTAGTAAATAAGGGAATCCAGGAGTCTGAGATACCTCTGGATAGTAAGCCTAAATATTTGTTATACTTGCAGGTTATGAATTTGTTCATTTTTCATATTCCACTTTTTAAATAATGGTCATCATTGTTCCCTCAGAGTTTTAAGCATTTAATATTTTGATTGTCCTCAGACTGAAAAAACAGTCTACAGTGTTAAGGTAATAATAGTGTACATTTGTGTAATATTTTGGAGTTTTCAAACACTTCAATTTTACTTGAGCTAGTATTTCTCCATTCACTTAGGTGGAGGCCAGAAGAATAGGGAATTTGTTTGAGGCCTCATACCAGGGAATAGCAGTCTGGTACAGAATGCAGGTATTCAGATTTTCACCACAGTCCCTTATCCCATACCCTTTTTATCAGGATAAGTTGAAACTAGACATTTCTGACTTAACCTGTTTTTTCCCTAAGCTTTTAATTATAAAGATTATCAAACAGAAAAGTAGTGTGTGCTAATCAAGTAGGTTTAATAAATTTGTGTGTGCTAATCAAGTAGGTTTAATAAATACCAGCATTTACCAAGTTTTGATACTTGCTTTTCTCTGGAATGTTATGAAAGACAATGCCCATTAGTGCTTTATAAAAATATTAGAGTTACCTTACATACAAGAATCATTTGAAACAAAAATAATGTGTAGGAAAGACTGTCACAAATCATGTTTACCAAAAATGAACGTTAATGTTTGTACACCAAACATATGTGCAAACACATGCCAGACATTAAGCAATTTACATTTAGTTAAGTTCTCTTAATCGGTTAAAGCTATGAGTAAACGACCTTTCTTAGTCTTATTTTATATCTCTGGAAATTGATGTTGAAAAAGATTTAAGATAATTTGTGTTGGTCAACTAGTTAATGTTTAGGCCAGGATTTGAACCTAGTCTACCGGAGCTGTACTCATGGGATAGTGTTTTTAGGAATGTTAAAGGTGTGCATTGCAATAATTTGTTCACAGAAATCTGGAGCTTAAGCTCTGAGTCTGCTAAAATGAAGATCTGGCTCAGTTCAACATAGTAGGGTAACCTATCCATTTTGTGGAGCTTTATCTTGACTATTTTGTTGACCCAGTTTTTGCTCTTTTCATCACTTTTGTTCTAACTGGCTGATTATTATATGTTTAATAATAGATAGGTTCTGTTAAGACATGAACTTTAAAGATGTAACCTATTTTTCCTCTGTGTTCTTCACTAGTTAGTGACTCAATAGGAGAAAGATGTGTGAAGCAACTTTTAAATTACCTCATTTTACAAGTAGAAGCTGTTAGTGATTTTGGTTGTAATAAAGGGAAGGTGGATTTGACTTTTTGAATTGTGTGTGTGGATTATGCCGCATCAGGTACCTGTCTAGGTTAACAGAGAGAACAGGACTTGGAAACCCTCTTAAGAGAGCAAAACGTATTCTTTCCCCCAAACTTGTCCTCCTTCCAGATTCTTGTGTCTAACTTAGAGTTTAGGGGCACTGTTGATTTTTTTCTTGAGATGATTTGACTTTATTTAGTCCTCATAATCTCATGAATTACATATTAACTCCATCTTACAAATAAAGAAAACTCCTAAGTTTTCAACTTTATTTGAATTTGCAAGTATGTACTATATACCAGTTACTGTAATTCTAGTGTTGGTGATACAGCATTTTAAAGTGAGATACTATATTCCCTACACTTTTAGAGATTAAATTCAAATATGGGGAAGGCAAAAGCAAAACAAGCAAAAAAAACCTATACCTGATGTGTTTAGAAGAGTTAGGAAGGAGGACTACTAAATTGGGTCTTTGGACCTTTAAGGAGGCAGCATTTAAGCTAATAGGCACAATGCAATCAATGGTCGATGGGAGGCTTGACCCTGCAAGAGGTTCCTGCCTTCCAAAAGCCAATTTAGAGAAAACAGCAACAGATCATAGTAAACTATGTGCCAAGAACTCAGTCTTTCATTACCTGAGCTGATTCTAACTATTTAAGGTTATGAATGTGTTAAATATTAACTTATTAAATATATTGTAATTTTACATTTATCTGATCGTTGAATTTTGGTGTGAACAAGGATGTATATCCTGTAGTCCCTCCTTCACTTTTCTATTTCTAGTCTATATTTTCTTGGAATTTAAAATCAAGATTTAAAGGAGGATTTGGTAGCTGGTATTTGTCAGGATGTATAGACATTAAAATTACTCTCTTAATCTTCCCCACTGTAGGGCCATTGGCATTTAGGGAACATGTTCTTTTTTGAAATTTTTTTGTTAAGACAGCATTGGTTTACAATACTATGTGAGTTAGACCTGAAAGATGACACCCTAAAGGTGTATGTTACCACACCACACCCAATACTAGGACACTCACAATCCTTCATCTTGGTCCAAGGGACATTGTTTTTGACTCACCAATTTAATTTTATTTCTTCTACTTTGTATTTCCAGTTTTATTACGTGTTTTTGTTGGATTGATTACTTGAAAAGATTCATAAATTTTCATGTGTTTGTTTTTCACTTAAGTGGTTTATTAATTCCTTGTGTATAGCTGTTCCTCAGTCTTGTATTTAGTTTCTGCTCCCCTGTTGTTTTTTGACTGTCTTTTGTACATTATTGATAACCACTGAATGTTACACAGAGTAAGCTTTTCAGTATCGGTAAGCAACAGTATTGATTCCAGCAGATACTTATTTCATTTCATTTACTTGGCTTTTCTTTTATTGGAGTATCTGTCCCTAATCAAAATGCTACTAGGCGTCAAGTTTGTTAGTTACTGTGATGATTGTTATATGAAGTTAAAAAAGTGAGTTTCAGATGAAACTTAGGAAAGGAAGTGACCAAGAGAGCATTTTAGATAACCTTACAAATACTAACCACATAGTGACGTGTTTCCATATGCCAAAATGAATGATACTGTTTGCTTCTGGAATTTTCTGATAGGATGGCAACATAACTTCTGTTTTTTAAAGCTCAGATTACCAAAATTAGAATTCAAGTAGTTAAATGTAAAAGTAAAGGTGTTTTCAGTTATGTCATTGCCTACCACATTTCGCATAAAGCAAAAATTCAGTTCCTTAAGTTTATTCTTAAATTAGTTATTCCTTCCCTGAAATCATTAATGTCTTTACTAAGTTTATTTCAGTGCTTAGTTTGATGCATTATAAACAGTGGGTATTTAATTTACCATAAATCATTTGTATTTTTATCTTTGCTAGGAATTTAAATTTAAAATCTCAGAATATTCTCTCCAGAAGAATTTTACACTATCTCAAAGACTTCACATTGACTGCTTCATCCTGCATAAAATTTAAGGTAAATTTTTCTAGTTTTCAGTTTTGGCTTATTTGATAAAATGAGGCTACTGAACTAGTGTTTCAGACTGTGATTAAAAACAATGTGGTCTGAAGCTCTTTTTTTTCCCTTTTTTGTGACTTAATGAGGTAAGCCAGCTTTTTTATGAAAAAGGTTTTATCTCTTCTGCTTCTAGGTGTGTGTCTGCTTCAACTTCTTTTTTTTTTTTTCTTTTTTCCAAGATTTATTTATGCACACAAAAGTTAGGGTATAGGGCAGAAGTGCAGGGGTTGAGAGGATTCACCAGAGACAGAGTGGGGAGCAGAACAGGCAGATGTACTGAAATACACTGCTGAGGGGAAGCAGTGAGCCAGACAAAAGAGGTCTGCTGTGCCATGTCAGGGTCAGCCAGGGTCAGCTCCCTAGCAGGGGATCGAATTCTTGCTTCAGTGGTTGCCCGTGGCTTCATTGTGCTGAGACTTAACCACTTTTGCCACCAGGAAGGCCCTGCTTCCACTTCTATAAGCAAATCTACTTAAAGACTTAACACACACCAAAGTATTTGAAAATAAAACGAAATAGCCCTACTTATGTAACTCATTTTCCTTGTGCATACAAGAGGGATTCCATAACCTAACTTTTCTCTCTTAGTGTTAATCCAATTGAAAGGAAATGTTTATTGTATGCTAAACATTGTACTAAGTGTATTATATGTATCAACTCATTTAGTCATCACTACAGCTTGTATTTCTTGGTTTCTGGCAATTAAGAATGAGAGAAGTCAAAGGTGATATTTGTTTATTAGAGAACAGCTGTATTTTATTTTGAAGTAATAAAACCTAGAAATGGTCATTTGTGGGTTTTGATGAAATATGCAGGCATTATTATTGTCTCTTCTATGACATGTCATGCTAGTATTTTCAGTTACGGACTGAAAATATAATAATTGGTTATAAGAGAAATGGTTTAATATGGAAGTTGGAGGTGATTGTAATTTTAGTGAGTCGGTTTTTATGAAATAGGTTGTGGAAATTTGGAAATAGTTACAGTAGAAATAAATGTGGGAGGCATATGTTTAATTTCGTAAAAAATAGATTTCATAAATAATCCTAGCTATTTGTGATTTCTGGACCCATTGAGGTCTAATTATTGTGGTAGATGTTAAGTAGTGTAATAGAAAGGTTAGGTTAGGTGCCTTTTTATTAGTTCCACCATCTCTTTCTCAAAGCAATCTTTCCAGTTTCTCTTTTCTCTCTTTTTTTTTTTTTTAAACCAGAAGCTATGTGGTGAATTAGGCATAAGTTCATTGTTGCATGTGCCTAGTCATGACTCTTGGAGCAGAACAATGACTACTACTGTTCACAGATGTGGTGAACTTTTTTCTACTAGGAGATTTTTCAACACTATTTCAGACAGTATTTTATAGATGGAATAATCAATTTAGTCCTATTTCCAGAACATAACCAGACTTACGACAGTCTGGTAGGCTGGGGCTTGGCTTTTTTTTGTTTGGGTTTTTGTTTGTTTGGGGTTTTTTTTTTTTTTTTTTTTTTTTGGTATTTGTTTCAGGTTCTCTTATCTGTATTGCTCTGGATAATTATTTTTTTCACAGGAGAGATATGCAATTTGTGTTGGGCATGAAATAACATTTAACATGATTGCTACAGTCTGATTCATTTCTCTTTCTGGCTTGTGCAACTGCTACCTATTTTGGAGAGAAATGCAGGTGGGGCAGTTCATGGAATCTTCTCTTGTGTTTTCAATTCACAGTACCTATCGTGCAGGTGAAAACAGTTTTTAGTCAACTATTTAGTCTTCTGAACACTCACTTGAATGGTGATGAGTAATATCCTTTAACTTATGTCTTCTAAAATTTAATTCATGTTTGGAATAATTAATAATGTGAAGCTTCAATTGTATTGTGATTCTTTAACCTTTTTTGCTTTCTCATTTGACTAGGAGAAAGAAATGGGTCGCTCCAATTCTAGATCCCATTCTTCAAGATCAAAGTCTAGATCACAGTCTAGTTCTCGATCAAGATCAAGATCCCACTCTAGAAAGAAGAGATACAGGTGAACAGTGTTTTTAATTCGTTTAATAGTGATAATCATGTTAGCTAATATATGTGGAGTGCTTACCATGTACAGAGTTAATAAACCCATTGAAATGGATATTTGTGAAGTAAATGAAAACCTTATGAAATGTTACCCTCATGTTAGAGTTGGAGAAAATGAGAATTGTCCAAGTTGCAATCTAGTAAGTGGTAGAACTTAGGTTTGGATCTGGATAATCTCATTCCCTATCCTAAATTTTACAATACTGTGAATTTCTTCATATTTACCTATAATGTTGAGATAAATTGGATAACAAAAGAATTATTTGGCATTGAATCATCTTTGTACGATGTATCATAGTTTCTCATTTCTGACCCTAAGGTCTCAATAAAATCATAATTTTGGGTGTCTTTCTTGAAATAGTAATGTATACTTAGCATAGGGGATAGTAAGCACATGTTGAAAAGGACCATAATCTTATTAAGAATACTAGCTTATGGTTTTTTAATGTGTATTTTTAGCTTTGACAGTTTATTTTCATGTTGTGGTTAGACACTTAGAGCAGTGGAATGGAATAATTTTTTTTTCCTTCATTGATATTTATTTTATTTTTAGTTCTAGGTCTCGTTCCAGGACGTATTCAAGATCTCGTAGTAGAGATCGTATTTATTCTAGAGATTATCGCCGAGATTACAGAAATAATAGAGGAATGAGACGACCTTATGGGTATAGAGGAAGGGGTAGAGGGTATTATCAAGGAGGAGGAGGTAGATATCATCGAGGTGGTTACAGACCTGTCTGGAATAGAAGACACTCTAGGAGCCCTCGACGAGGCCGTTCACGTTCCAGGAGTCCAAAAAGAAGATCTGTTTCTTCTCAAAGATCCCGAAGCAGATCTCGACGGTCATATAGATCCTCTCGGTCTCCAAGATCATCCTCTTCTCGTTCTTCATCCCCATATAGCAAATCTCCTGTCTCTAAAAGACGAGGGTCTCAGGAAAAGCAAACCAAAAAAGCTGAAGGGGAGCCCCAAGAAGAGAGTCCTTTGAAAAGTAAATCACAGGAGGAACCGAAAGATACCTTTGAACATGACCCATCTGAATCTATTGATGAGTTTAATAAATCATCAGCCACTTCTGGTGATATCTGGCCTGGCCTTTCAGCTTATGATAATAGTCCCAGATCACCCCATAGTCCTTCACCAATTGCTACCCCACCTAGTCAGAGTTCATCTTGTTCTGATGCGCCCATGCTCAGTACAGTCCACTCTGCAAAAAACACCCCTTCTCAGCATTCACATTCCATTCAACATAGTCCTGAAAGATCTGGGTCAGGTTCTGTTGGAAATGGATCTAGTCGATACAGTCCTTCTCAGAATAGTCCGATTCATCACATCCCTTCACGAAGAAGCCCTGCAAAGACAATCACACCACAGAATGCTGCAAGAGATGAAGCTAGGGGACGTTCCTCATTTTATCCAGATGGGGGAGATCAGGAAACTGCAAAGACAGGAAAATTCTTAAAAAGGTAAGAACTAACTAAAGAATTTAGATCATATTTAACCTTTTGTTCTTTGAGTTGTATTTTGAGTTATACATTTTGCAGTTGCATCGTGATAGGATGTTAGTGATTTTTTACAGTAATCCCAATTTGTTTTTACTTATATTTGGTTAACTTTGGAAGTTTTTTAATAGAAAGTAATTTATATTTCTTCTAATTTTATCTGTTTTCAGTCAGTCCAGAGTTAAGATTGTAAATGAGGAGAAATTGAGTACCATAAAGCATTACTAGTGGTAAACATGTTGTAAAAACAGTAGATTCTCTTCAGAGATTTTTGTATTAGAGCACTGAAATCTTATTTTGGTCTTTTCACCATTATGATTTGCATAAGCAATGCAGTTATATTACATGTTCTTACTTGTGTGGTATTAGACACAATTCAGCTGACAATAGGTCTGCCTAACTGGAAAAAATGTTATCTCTTACTGAATCTAATGACATTTTAACAGATACTTTAATTCTAATTTCAAGTGTTGCTTAAAAGGTGCTAAAAATACTTAATGAAAATTGGTTGGGAATGCAGTGTAGGGATAGAGCAAGCATGTATTATGATACAACCTAGAACTGTGCTTTCTTACTGAATTGACACAGAATTTTTACTTAAGATTGCCCAAATAATTTTCTAGAGCAAAATTTAGGAACTTTTTTGTGTTTTGGTGTGTGAAATATCTAATCAATTACATTGAATTCTTTATTTCTATCAGTTGATCAGTAAGTGTAAGTCTAAAAATTTGAGTGCAAGTAAATTCTCAGAAACAAACACATTGTTAGTGGTTCTTAGCCTCAAAAACTCAGTGTGGTGTGTTATAGAACCTTTGGAAATTGGGATTTGTTGGTGCAGACTTAAGACTGACTAGAAGAGTTTGAGAATGGCTTTACTTTTAAATTTAGGAAGTATAGTATGCAAATTTATATATAAATTCAGTCACTAAACGCTGTGCATATGCTTTTCATGCTTCTTAAATGTGGACTCTGAAGAAGCATTTTTTAGTAGGGTTTTTCTTATTACTGGTCCTTTGGTATTGGGCAGCACATTTAAGCATGCACGTGATTCACAGTGAATGCAATCCAGTTACCTACCATCCTCTTCTTTGCTTATTCACAGGTTCACAGATGAAGAGTCTAGAGTATTCCTGCTTGATAGGGGTAATACCAGGGATAAAGAGGCTCCAAAGGAGAAAGGATCAGAGAAAGGGAGGGCAGAGGGAGAGTGGGAAGATCAGGAAGTTTTAGATTATTTCAGCGATAAAGAGTCTGGAAAACAAAAGTTTAATGATTCAGAAGGGGATGACACAGAGGAGACAGAGGATTATAGACAATTCAGGAAATCAGTTCTTGCAGATCAGGGTAAAAATTTTGCTACCACATCTCACCGGAATACTGAGGAGGAAGGACCCAAGTACAAGTCCAAAGTTTCACTGAAAGGAAATAGAGAAAGTGATGGATTTAGAGAAGAAAAAAATTATAAGCTTAAAGAGACTGGATATGTAGTGGAAAGGCCTAGCACTACAAAAGATAAGCACAAGGAAGACGACAAAAATTCTGAGAGAATAACAGTAAAGAAAGAAACTCAGTCACCTGAGCAGGTAAAGTCTGAAAAGCTCAAAGACCTCTTTGATTACAGTCCCCCTCTACACAAGAATGTGGATGCTCGAGAAAAGTCTACCTTCAGAGAGGAGAGCCCACTTAGGATCAAAATGATAGCCAGTGATTCTCATCGTCCTGAAGTCAAACTCAAAATGGCGCCCGTTCCTCTTGATGATTCTAACAGGTAATTCCAGTTAGAGCCTAGCAGATAATCTGTGGGTGGTTAATTAATTATGTATTTTCTGAACATACTTAAAACCAATTGGTATATTTTGTTTGTGTGTGTGTGTGTTACTGATACGCTCCAGACCTGCTTCCTTGACTAAAGACAGGCTACTTGCTAGTACACTTGTCCATTCTGTCAAGAAGGAGCAAGAATTCCGATCCATCTTTGACCACATTAAGTTGCCACAGGCCAGCAAAAGCACGTCAGAGTCATTTATTCAACACATTGTATCCTTGGTTCATCATGTTAAAGGTATGTTTAATATTGTGAATTTTCTCTGGCAAGTTAAAAAATAATGAACAGATATGTTTAATAATTTTATGTACCCTAGGGCTAGCAAGTACACAGAGACCATTAACAATTTAGGAAAATAGAGCTGCGTGTAAGAGAGAAGCTGTGTTTTTGAGAACCACAAAGATTTACTTTATAAAAAGCAATGAAATTGCTAAACAGAGCAAATACATCCTGAAAAACTATGTTGATATATAAAACCTGTAGATTTGTTTAATGATGAAATATGCATTTGTATGCTGTATTTGAAGGGCAGATTATTTTTTAGTGCTTGCATATGACTTGTGAAATCTTGGCATAAATTTGTACAAAGTGAGCTAGTTTTATTACTAGATTTATTAAGAATTTCTTTCACCTTTTAAAGGAAGTTGAAACCAGTGGGAAAACTATTTCCTATTTTGTGTGGTATTTGTTTGAACACTTAGCTTTTTCAACTGATAAAAGAAAAAAATCTATTATGATTACTCAAAGGGAGAAAAGAGTTTAAGACTTTGGAAGGTTATTACATAAGTAATGATTACATGAAAAGTGACTAGGGTAATGATATTTCCTTAAGTCCTAAAGATTTTAAGGGTGTGCATTTCAACTACAGCAGTGATGTTCTATTTTCACTATTTTGTAATTCTAGTTTCAAAGTAATTTTCTAAGGTTTTAGAGTATGACTTTTTGGAGCAACTTAAGTTTCATTTTTTATGTTTAAAGTCACTTTATTGTGAAATAAGTTGTTACCCAGGAATCACCATGGCTTCTGGTGATAAGCCATGTTAAAAAAGTTTGTCATTTGACATGAGAACAGTTCATTATAGCTGAAAGTTGGTCGCTAGCAATTCTTTATGCACTTAGTATTTCAAAATCAGTGAGTAGTTAATAAGTTTCTTTTTGACTGTAATTATTTGGCTATAACTAAGTTTGTGAACCAATTTATGACCATATTACTGTGGTACATAAAAACTGAAACATTAACATTTTTTCTTTTTCCCAACTTTTTTTGACTTGTCTCCACATTTTACAATTTATTGCTGAATTTTGAGATCGTTTTGATAAAAAATTTTTCCTTTTTCCTTTTCTTTTTTCAAAAATCTGTAGTTATGTTTCATTATTGGTATTGTGCAACCGATCTGAACAGCTCTTACTTAATATAGAGCTGAAAATGCCCAGTGATGTTTTCTTTTTCATTGTAACTAGGTCCTGGAATATGTTTTGAAATGGCAAAATCCATGTTTCAAAGTAAAATAGCTGTTGAAAGATACAGGCAAAGTTGAATCTTCTGTCTTCTGGCAAAAATGGCATAAAAACTGAGTTGCTAGCTCAAATTCCTGGGTTTCATGGAATTATGATTGAGGCACTACCCTTGTAGTGGCCGTTTCAAGTTTTAATGATTGGTTATGAGACATGTGCTGGATATTGGGCGGTAAGTTGACACAGATGTATGTTGACCTGTTAAGCGGATAGCTTGCTTCGTAATGTAACATTTCATGACTTTTTACGTCTTTTTATTACATTCGAACATATCTTGAACTGGTTTAAAAACTAAATGGTGCTGGTACTACTACTACTAAAATCGTTAAAAGAAAGACAAGACAGTAATATCAAATGTACTCTCAGGTTTGCCAAGATGCCAGATTTTTGGAGTAATCAGTGAATGTTCATTTTCCACTTGAAATGACAGTATTAACTTTTTTCTTAAATCTACTTTTTGTCAACATAGTTCTTGATCAGATAATTTTGTTTATCAATTAGCTGTGTAGTTCAGTGTTTTTTGTTTTCTACAAATGATTACTTGAATAACTTTATTGGTTCTTGTCAAGGTAGAAGGAAATTCACTTATTTTTTGTTCTGTTTGAGGAGGTAGTGCATCATTGAAATGGAATTGGAGACTCTCAATTGACTTACCATTTCTTAGATTATATGTAGTATTGACAGTGACTTGTGAGGAAATTTGCATTACTTATCTGTTGAGGTGTACAAGAAGTTAAAAGGGTCAGGGTAGGAGCTCTTTGTAACACTTGATTCTTTTCTGCTAGGTTTCTTGAGTATTTTTATTTTTATTTCCTTTTCACCTGCTACATGCCCTTCTGTCACAAATAAAAATCTCTCTTAAAGTAAATATAACTAATTAGGCAGTATTTCTCATAAATCAACAGAGCAATACTTCAAATCACCTGCAATGACCCTAAACGAGAGGTTCACTTCATATCAGAAAGCCACTGAAGAACATAGTACCCGGCAAAAGAGCCCTGAGATTCACAGGTATGTCTACTATTGAGTGGGGGTATAAAAATGTTTTGATAGGAAGATACTGTTTAAATTACATTATATTAGAAGTGAGCTGTCATAACACAAATGAATTTTGGTTTTATTCCTAATTTAAGCCTTGAATAAATACATTTCTAGTCTTAAAAACATCTATTACTTATTGTTTAAGTTTTCAGTTTATGTGATTTAAACTAGTTGTAACTTGATCACTTCCACTATTGGATAAAATAGTTACCCCCTTGTTTTTTGGGAGAGGTTTGGATGCCTAGAGTAACCTTTGTATTTATTTCTATTAACTTTGTAAAATGAAAATATTTGAGAGAGAGAACTTAATGAAAAGAGCATGCGTGTAAAGGTCAGACAATTATGGTCAAATCCTGGCTCTGTTTCTTCATTGCATTGTGATGAACACATTATTGTTGAATTTTTTTTTCCATCTACAAAATAAGGATAATGTCTTTTTTTGCAGTGTGGTGGTGACAGTAGTATTGGTTATATGGTATGTAACTCTGCTTAATGTAAAGTAGATAGGTTTTCGTGGTAACTGCTGAAGAAACACTGGGAAGTTGTAACTGATACAAGATTCAAAACGCCAGGAAAGGCAAAGGCTGAAACTATAGCATATGTACAGGTTTTGTGGCTACTTAGGAACAAATAAATTGATTTCTTTTTTGTGTTTATTGAGGATATCAATGTACTGTAATTATATGATGGTTGACTTAGGATGGTATGTTAAAACATTTTTCTCCTTTGATGAATAAAATAAATTTGATGTTTTAAAAGTTTAGGCTTCATTCATATGTAAAAATAATCTTTTTTTTAAAGATTTATTTATTTATTTATACAAGCACTGGGTACAGTCAGAGGCGCGGGAGGGTGAGAGAATTCACCAGAGCCAAAGTGGGGAGCAGAGCAGGCAGAAGGACCGAAGTACACTGCTGAGGGGAGCAGCGGGCGGCAGGAGAGGTCTGTGCGCCATGTGGGACCCTCCTCCGGTGGCCGGGGAGCAGCCGGGGATCGAACAGGTGCTGCAGAAGCTGCTGGCAGCTTCGCAACCCAACGCTCAACCGCTGCGCCACCGGGGAGGCCCTGTAATAATAATCTTGCCCCGGCATTTTAATTTACTTAGTGGGCAGAGTTTTCTTAATTTGTATTAGGAATTAGGCATAACAATCTTAATTTGATAAATTAGTTGGCTGATTGGGAAAGGTAGAGCTGCCTACTATTTCCTTTACAGAAATGTACAGATCTGACAGTTTTTGAAACTTTAAAGTTAATGTGACTACAAATAGACTTTATTTTACATTAAGGAGAATTGACATCTCTCCAAGTGCCCTGAGGAAGCATACCCGTTTAGCAGGGGAGGAGAGAGTTTTTAAAGAAGATAATCAAAAGGTATGTTTTAAATGAACTCCCCCCCCCCCATGTTTAGCTTAATGATACTATACTAAATACAGTTTGGGCAAAATGTATAGATATCTGCCATTTTTTAAACTTATAAATACTATGGTATTGTACATACTTCTCAGAGGAAATAATAGCTGACACTGCTGTAATCCAGGTTAAGCCAGCAGTAATTTTAAAAGATGATGAAAGAAGGAACTTAGTTCTAAGGAAAAGGTACAGAATTGGTAGACAAAGGAAAATTACAAAAGTTAAAGATGCACAAAGTATTTATAGAGTTTCAGTAAATGTGAGGTTAAATGGTTGAGCCAGAATAAATATCCCTTCATTTATGTGTGCTTAAATTAATATCTCTAGGTTCTTCACAGAGAGAATAAGAAGTAATTTCTGTGCTACTGGGCATTTTTGGTTGGGACTAAGAAACGAGCAGTCTAAGAACTGATTTACAAATGAACAATATCTGTGGATGCAGGGTGGGAGAGGAAAGCTTTTAAACTTAAGGAACCCTGTGAATGACTGGTGGAGTCGGGGTGGGGCTTTGAGAAAATGGACTTCAGTTGTTAAGGAGCTTCTCATATAATTTGGTAATTCAAAATCGACATTTTCTGGGAACACTAGTTTATATGATAGACCTTTAACAGTCTAGTAGAGATACTGGGGCACTGTTAACAAGGAAAAGGTTAGGGAACTTGGAAGTACTGCTTGGTTCCAGTTCTGGCCATCACAAGTACATTTGTGATAGTTAGAAAATAACTTCGTGGATGTCAGTTTTCTAATTAGAAAAATGCAAGTATATATGTTAAGCAGAATTGTTTAATAATTGTACTATTATGAAAATATTGGTACTTTAGCATACACATTTTGTAATAGGGCATGCTATTAACATACTAGGGTATTTAGCTAAGAAACAAAGTGGCTTCTTTGGGGCGTGTCTTAGAAAAACAAGTTGTACTAATTTTTGCTTTTACTTTCAATACCTTGGATTCAGTGTTGTTTTTGTTTGCCAACAATATAGTTTATCCTTGTGCTCTCATGGGGTATCTTGTTTTTCTCCTTTTACTCAGACCAGATTGTGATTTGTAGGAGAGAAAATAGTGCTTACTGATTGATGGATAAGAGGATATGACATTGTTTTTTATTCTTCATCTTCTGATCTAAATGAATAACATGTATCTAAATGAATAACATGTGTAATGTATAGGTAGTTCAGTTTACAAAGTACTTTCACTTAAATTATTTTCTTGTGGGCTTGCTAATATCAGGTGAATAGGAAGGTTTTTGCTCTTGACTAGGTTTTTTTTTTCCTTTGTTACCCTGGGAACAAATAGGTGAGTAGTTGATATCATTTGGAGAGAACTTTATGCTTTCATTTTTATGAATGCTTATTAATATTAGAGCTTCTAGAATTCCCAGAGTAAGTACTTATTGTTGAATACTAGCAAGGATGTCCACATTGCTTAGCATCTTACTGATGTATCATTTTTCTTCATTCCTAGATGCCTCTTTCCATCTTCCTAAATTATATAGTATTTGAAAAAGCAATGGAACAAGAAGGAGGTGAATTGTGACCCAGTTAAACTATTGTCCGTTGCAATACCTGAATTGAGAAGGGGCAGTATATGGCCCGAGATACTGAGTACAGGATTGGGAATAATATCTTTCTGGCTTTGTTTGTACCCTTGTTCAACCTCAGTTGATTTCATTAATCATTCTCCTCTTGCATGTTATAGAAATTACAGAATTCTTACTTTTGAAGTGGTGGTTTTTTTTTTTTTGGGTTGGTCAACTTGTTTGGGAAGAACTTAAATGATAATGAGGCTTAAGTAATGAGATTACTTTAGGATCCCTTTATAGGTGTAAGGCAAAACCATAGATTATATAACCTCTGTCATTGTTCAACTATTTTAAAAAAATGCCTTTTGCAAGGATGAAGGATGATAATGAGTGTGTGCTGAGTGGAAAAATGACTATCATTTTACTGTACAAATGTTTTTTATGGTTGCTTTGAACAAAAAGCTATGATAGTTAACTTTTAAATAACTTCCTTAGTCCTACTGCACTTTGTGTACACAAATGTTTAGTAAAAACAGTCACATACTTTTTTTTAAATAAAGACTATGGAAGTTGTATTTTAATATCCATTCTTTCTGATACTGAAATGTCAGTTTAGAAACTGGCATAAAATTTGGAGAGATATATATGTACATACTTTTTTCTATATCTCCCTGAAGTCTGTATTTTACATCTGTCTTTTTATAGGGAGATAAAAAATTAAGGTGTGATTCTGCTGACCTTCGGCATGACATTGATCGTCGGAGAAAAGAAAGAAGTAAAGAACGTGGGGATTCCAAGGGCTCCAGGGAATCCAGTGGATCAAGAAAGCAGGAAAAACCTCCAAAAGATTACAAGGAATACAAATCTTATAAAGATGACAGGTAATTGTTAAAACTGTCCGAGTTAGGTTTTAGCTTCTAATTAGCCTTTAATAATTGTCAGCTTAATTGCTTTCAATTTTGATTGTGTAATCGAATGTTTAAATTTAAACAATTAAAATTATTTGTTTTACAGCAAAAATGTATTTGTCTTTTACACGGCTTATGGTGGATGAGGACAAAAACTTTGGAATAGCAAGCTAACACTGAAAAAAAAAATGACAAATTAATGTGTCCTATTATCCAGGCTACATCAGGAGGTTGGACTTCAATGCAGTGCATTTCTAGAAACAGTTTGTGTAAGAACTTTGGTTCGTTATGCTTGATTCCGCACTTTTTCAACTCATAACACCCAGAGTACAAAAATTTTAAAACTGATAACTAGTGGTTTAACATGGGAGAAATGGGGGGAGGAAGGATTAGTTTTTATGAAATAGCAATATGTATTAGTCTTTCAAAGTAATGTTTCCATGGATACTGTTAGCAGTGGTAAGAGTATTGCAGGTATGACCTTTTCGGGTATTGCATTAGAATCATAAAAGTGATCATCATAGCGTCATATAAACAATAGAAATACTAAGTATCATAGATAATCGTTTTTCTTGCTATTCATTAGGTAAATGGTGAATTTTACTTGTGTTTTTTTTTTTTTAATTTATGATTGGTATTTGTAATGTCATATGCTTTTTATTTCTATAACCGTGTTGTGGCCCAAACCATACCAACTGTTCTCACCCAGGGTGTACAAACTGCAGCCATTTTGAAACTTGACCTTAAAAAACAGTCTTATTTGTTTTTCCTACTCTCCCTTTCCTTCTTTTAAAAATAACAAAGTTAAAGATATTTAAGAACTGAACTTTATTCTTGAAGTTTCCATACTGCTAGTTTCTAACTGGCAGGTCATAGCATGTTTTTCAGTAGTGATGTAAAATAAATATTGAAAGAGAATGGAAACAGATTGTGTCAAAGTTTAACACCCAATCATTCTAGTTACATAATATTAATAGGGGATAGTTTTTTTTTTACCTGAAAAGTATCCCTCTTATTATAAGATTCAACAGGGCCAGCATCTTTAAAAATTGCACATTTTTTTGTTTTCTTTCTTTATTTTGCAGTAAACATAAAAGTAGAGAGCAAGATCATTCTCGATCTTCATCATCTTCAGCATCACCTTCTTCTCCCAGTTCTCGTGAAGAAAAGGAGAGTAAGAAGGAACGAGAAGAAGAATTTAAAACTCACCATGAGCTGAAAGAATACTCAGGCTTTGCAGGAGTTAGCCGACCACGAGGAACTTTTGTAAGTAATAAAATTACTTTGCATGATTTTATAGGACTTAGAGTACTGTAAGAGTACTGTATATAAAGAAGTAAAATATGTGATTTAGATAGTCATTCCTACATTGAGTATTAGTCTTGAAAAATGAAATAGCATTTTAAGTATCATTTACGTTAGGAAATAACATTTAGGGGGAATGAGAAGGGACTGGAGCTGGTACATTACTTTTTTTTGTACACAGATTAAGAGTAAATGATTTTGCTTGATTAAAAAAAAATGCTTTTTTGAGATTTAGCAGTATCTATATAAACTAGGGGCTTACCATTTGTGCATATATTTCAAGTCCTTGTTTATATATGCTCCAGTCTTAGAAATAACACAACTTTTTATTCTAACATACGCTTATGCCCATGTTTTTATAAATAGATAATTATTAATTTACTGGCCTCATAGTGCATTTTCATGACACTAATTTCTGTATATTCAGTTTTTTCCTTGAGAATATCCTGTTACTAGTAGGGTCATTTATTCATTTGGGAATGAGAAGAGCTTTGCTCATACGGTAGCAAGTGTAGTTGAACACTTGGGACTTTTAAGATAATTCAGAGGAATTAGATGACTCTTTGGGGTTAGTAAAAAGGAAAAGAATCAACTTCTGATTATTTGAAAACATTAGTTCAGGTCATGAAAGTGCAGTACTCTAACTTTAGGTTGAATGTGTGTTTCTGCCTAACCTACTCAGCTTTTAGTAGGCAGAATTTTTTGCCTGTGATCTAAAATGGCCTTTCCATCCTCAGTTTGAGATTTAGGAAGGAAATAGGTAATACGTTTTTGTTACTGCAGTTAAATTAGAATTTGCATGTAACTAAATACATTTTGATTGCATTACTAAATGATTTTGTTAATGTTAATCAGTTTCGAATTAGAGGCAGAGGAAGAGCCAGAGGAGTTTTTGCTGGGACAAATACTGGTCCAAACAACTCAAATACTACTTTTCAAAAGAGACCGAAGGAAGAGGAATGGGATCCAGAATATACCCCAAAGAGCAAGAAGTACTTCTTGGTGGGTGTTAGAAATCTGTGTTTATTTGGTTTGCATTAATTTTCAAAGCATACTGGGTGAATAAATTTGAGTATAGTTATCCACTACTATGAGAATATTTCACCATAATGCCTAAAATATTTTAAAAAATACATTACCCAGATGACTTGAAGTTTTGAAAATGTGGCCCCCTTTAGTCCTGACTGTGCTTTTTTGACACACTTTATAGGCTGATCAGGGTAAACTAAAAATATACCTGATTTGATGGCCACATACAAAAAAGAACATTATTATATATTTCATACCTGTCTATAAGACTGTATAAGTGGACAGATATGAAAACTTCTCAAACATCACATCTAATTGTCTAAATAAAAGTCAAGACAAGAATTCTATTATAATAGTACATGTAACTAAGGGTCTAAGGGCACTGTTAAGGGTTCTTTGAATTAAAAGGAAGATGAAACGTTACATTATGGAAAGGTTGCTAGATATTCAAGTTTGATACTTATTGTGATGTTTTTCCTTCTAAAGTAGTTTTTTAAAGGATGAAGGATCTCTGAATAATGATGGAAATTTTCTACAGTTTGATATGGGGGAAAAGGATCCATCCTGCCTTTATACATAGACTTTATACCTAAACTGTTATGAGAAATAGTAATTTTTTGTCATAGCTTCTTAGGGAAGTCATGTTTCAGGGAAAAGTTTTGAAGACTAGTTGTTTTATTGAAGCAAGGAGGAAAATTTCATTTGCCTTGCATTTCACTTTTTATAAATATAGTGTCCATAACATATCTTTTAAGTGGTTAGAGCTATATTGTGAAGTAGCTCTATATTTTGTTTAGAAAATGGACATTTTAGTTGTTTCAAAAATTAATTTCCATTTGCCTCTTTTTTGGGTGCCTTAATGAGACTAGTATTGAAACAAACAATCTAAATATATATGTTGGATTTCCTCCAAAGGAAGAAAATGGCGTATTGCAAGCAGAGTGTGGTTAGGAGAAACTATATAGAAAAATGTGACTTAAATCTTAAGCTTAAAAGGTGAGTAGGTGTAATATAGGTAGCAGAAGGAGTAGGTATAGATATTTGCTAAAGGAGATCTGAGAAATAGAAAAAATCTAGGATCCATCATCTTACTTGTCACAAAAGCATGAAAAATTATCCAGTGGGAAGAGAAGTGATTAAAAGGCCAACTATTCAAATGTGGGGTGAGGTGTGAGTGATAATGAAAATGAAGGACATGTAGACCAAATGTGAGAAAGATCAAAAAGTTAAGAGGGAAAAGAAAGTGAGCAAGTAAACAAATAGTAATTTTTAAACATTTTACCATATATCTAATTTAGGGCACCTTTATTTTTCTATAGTGTTCTTTCAGAACCTGGTCTCAGTTTTTACATTAAATTGGGACATAATCAGTTCAGATTGACCTGTAATTGCAGAGTAGTTTTACTTGTAAATCTGGGAAGTATAATTTTAAGTGTAAAGAAGTGTAATTTTAAGAATGTTGCCACTTACAAGCAGTAATATTTTATAGGTTGTGATTTTGGACTCTACTTAAAAATTTTCATTTCTATATAGAACATACATTATCTATATCTGTTACAGACGGGTTGATTCTAGAAGTAAAATTACCACAGTACTTTATTTCTTACAAGTCAACTCCCAAAATTTGTTATTTGGTTCTTGATGAACCGTGAAAATGACAATTTTTGTTTTTACTTGGAAATTTGAACTTAATAGATTTTGCATCTTCTGTAAAGATAATTGACTTTTCATATAGCTGGTATTGAACCTAGAAATAGAAACAAATATTATTCACAAGAAATGAGTTTGAGTATCTACAATATCTTCCTGATTCTTTCAGCATAATCAAACCAGCATGGAAATTTTGCCCATGTTAATGAAACATTAATAATAATAGGTAACACTTAATGAGCAAAGTACTATATACTAAGGCAGCACTGTAAGTATTTTAGATCTGCTAACTTAGATTTTTGAAATGACTCCTTTTGAAGTGGGGCCATTGTTCTACTTTTATAGGTAAAAACAATTGAAGTACAGAGAGCCAGCCCCTTGACCAAAGTTATATGACTAGTAAAAGTGGGTCAGTATTTGGACCCATGCACTGAGCTCCAAAGTAAGGACTCTGTATTGAGTAATAGTTACATTTGCTGCATTCTTGTCTGAAATTTCCCATCCCCAAACTTAGATTTTTGCAGAGCTGTGGTAATGTTTTAATAGTAAGTTTTCCAGGAAAGACAGTAAGTAGTCCTCAGGACCTGAAATTCTGTGGAGGAGGGGCTGAGTATATGAAGAGGTGGAGCAAGTGGACACGTGCTCTTTGTAGAATTGATGATGTCTTTGGAGAAAGAAAATTACTAGTTCAGTGTTAAAATTTTGATAAATTAACCCTTTTAGTCTTCACCATTCAAGACAGAAAGATAAGAGTATTCAGAAGATTTTGGTTTCGATATGACCTTTGTTAACATTTTGGTTGTGTTTTATAAATATCTAAATCTTTGGCCCTTTCTTATTTGAATTTTTAAAAATTGTAGGAAGACTAAAGTGTAAGAAACTGAGGATTGAGTATATGCTTAGCATCAAAGTGTCACTTAATTTGTGGTTAGGAAACCCTCTGTAAAACACAATGTAATCTTACAATTACTATATTCTGTATCAGTTTCAGATCACTGTTTCATTGGAAAGTAGTGGTTAGCTTAACTAGTGTCTAACTTTGCCACTGCTTCTCAGTTTCTTCTTAGCTGCCTCTTAAGGTAATTATTTACTGCTACCATCATAACTGGAAAAGATATTCTGTGGGTGAATTTTGCATCTTCCTTAAAGATAACTGACTGACTTTTCCAATAACTGGTGTTGAGCATAGAAACAAAAATATTATTCAGAAGAAATGAGGTTGTGCTATGAACCAGAGACACTTTATGAGGGGAGGGGGGCGGGGGGGGGAGGGATTGGGGTCAAAATAAAGGGGTTGCAAATGTTTGGGGAATATAAAAATAAAAAAAATTAAAATTTAAAAAAAAAGACAAAAAAAAAAAAGAAATGAGGTTGTGAAGGGGTAGTGGAAAGAACTAGCTCCATGGCCTTAAACAAGTTAATTTCTTTGTGCTTCAATTTTTTTTTTACCTCTAAAATGGGATTAACTTTATTTTACAGGGTCCTTGTGAGGATTGGATGAATAAATATTTGTAAAGTAGTCAGAATAGTTCCTTATCCTTAGTGAGTACTATATAAACATTGCTGTTGCCACCATTTATTGAGTGCTCATTTATTTGCTTGTCAGACACAACGGGCCAGGCACATTTTATGCATCATCTGTGTTCTCTCAAGCCTGTCTCTTTTCTAAAAAATGAAGAAGGCACACAGTTTGAGTTAAGATCTAAAACCATACCTCTCCAAGACCTGTTTGCTTTTCCCCACAAATCCATGGAATAAGTACTATAAACAAAAAAAGACGGACTCTGAAATTGGGTAGACTAGAAGGACCTGAAATTACGTAATTGCAGGGAAATCATTTTGAGTGACAGACTACTTAAAAATAGTGTATTTCAGGTTTATGTGAAACTCATAGACACAAATTTATACTTTTGATAGTAATGAAGTCGTTCTTAATGAAATCATCATGCACACCTCTAGACAGTGATCTTTCATTGGTTGTGAAAGATAGATATTAGATATTGGTAAGTGCTCTTTGATATAGGCTTTGATTATATGTGTAACAGCCTCTTTTTTTTTTTTTTTAAAGATTTATTTATTTATACAGGCACTGGGTACAGTCAGTGTGAAGTGAGGGAGGTGAGAGTATTCAGAAGTGAGGGAGGGTGAGAGTATTCACCAGAGCCAGAATGGGGAACAGAACAGGCAGACCGGCCAAATACACTGCTGAGGGGAGCAGCGGGTGAGACAGGAGAGGTCTGTCGCGCCACGTGGGACCCTCGCTGGCGGCCGGGGATCAAACCGGTGCTGCAGAAGCTGTGGGCAGCTTCGCAGTCCAGCGGTCAACTGCTGCGCCACCAGGGGAGTTCCCCCCCCCTTTTTTTTAAAGATTTATTTATTTATTTATGCAAGCACTGAGTACAGTCAGAAGCACGGGAGGATGAGAGGATTCACCAGAGGCAGAGCAGGGAGCAGAACAGGCAGACTGACGAAGTACGCCGCTGAGGGGAGCAGCAGGCATGGCAGGAGAGGTCTGCGAGCCATGTGGGACCCTCGCTGGTGGCTGGGGATCGAACTGGCGCTGCAGAGGCTGTGGGCAGCTTCGCAGCCCAGCGCTTAACTGCTGCGCCACCAGGGGAGGCCTTAACAGCCTTGCAAGTCATGTAGGGGGGTGATCTGTACTACATGAATATGCACAATGAAACATAGTCTGTGATTTGAAAAGGTGCTCATACCACATAATATTTGGGAAAAAGTCTTAGTCTGAGGTGGACAGCAGTTAAATTACAGGAGAATAGGCTTTTTGTTTTGTATTTGGGAAGGTGATACTCAAATACTTCTCAGTCTTGTAGGTTGTTTTGATTAGTGGGACAATTTGTAATTTGAGAAACATCTGTATTTGGATATTTTTTAATGAAAAATTAAGATTGAAATGTGTAATAGCTGCAGTACTTTCAGGTTGATGAAGAAGAAAATAGGTAAAGCATTACTCCATGGGCCATGCCATCATGATTTGGCATGTGAGATACCCTAGTCCGGAAGACTGATGTGTAATATTATTGATTTAAATTTATTTATTTTTTAAAGGTTTATTTATTTATGCATGCAAGAACTGGGGTATAGGCCAGAGGTCTGGGGAGGGTGAGAGGATTCATCAGAGACAGCTGGGAGCAGAACAGGCAGCTCTACTGAAATACACTTTTGAGGGGAACAGCGGATGAGACAGGAGAGGTCTTCTGTGCCATGTGGGTAGTTCCCTGGCCGAGGATCAAGCTCTGCTGCAGTAGCTGTGGATAGCTTCATAGTGCTGCGTCTTAACCCCTTGCACTCCAGGGAAGCCCTGATTAAATTTAAATCTTAATAGAATTTTAAAATCTATGTGTAAAGTGAAAGTCTTACAATCTTCTTTATTAAGTAAATGTTATTGGTGATATTGCTATGACATTTTTATGACTATCACATCTTTTTGACTAAGTGTTTTGGGGAAAATAGGGTGTTTTTTTTTTGCATTCTATGCAGTAAATGGTAGTGGACTTAGGTTGCAATAATTAAAAGCAGAAAAATCAAAATGCTGAAAATCAGCAATAACTTGGCAATTGAGATTCTTCAGAAAAATGGGAATTTCTCACTACTTTAAAATTATTCTCTGGGATAGAAGATACTTTTGTTTAAAAAACTCGGTTTTGTTGTGTTTTGGAACATTATAAATCTCACAAACCCAGTCTTCAGAGTATTTATTCCATGACTTATGGTTGGGGATATAATCATCCTCATAAGATAGACATTTCAGTGATGATTGCTTTTAACCTTCCTGTAGCATGATGACAGAGATGATGGTGTGGATTATTGGGCCAAAAGAGGAAGAGGTCGCGGTACTTTCCAACGTGGCAGAGGGCGCTTTAACTTCAAGAAATCAGGTAGCAGTCCAAAATGGACTCATGACAAATACCAAGGGGACGGGATTGTTGAAGATGAAGAAGAGACTATGGAAAATAATGAAGAAAAGAAGGACAGACGCAAAGAAGAAAAGGTAGAAATTTTCAACTCGTTAGTGATTTTAATAGATTTTCTTCTCTGTTGGTTTGGTGGACCAATTAGTTAATTATTTAATTTTTAAGAACAGTGTTTATTATGGATCATTTTTACCCTTCACGCTTTTGCTTATATTTTCTTTTGTTTTCTTTTAGGAATAGTAAATCTGAAGTGAGATTGCTACAGAGAGCAGAACTTGCACCCACCTTTTTTTTTTTTTTTACCTGATTTTTGTTTTCAAATAAGAATGTAAGCATTTTACTTAAATTTTACTGTTTGCAAGTAGCCTATAGAAATTTTGTTTTAAGTCCTCAAATATCTTTAAAATAGTAGATTGTATGTTGAAAATTGTACTGAAATAAAGTAGAAAATTGTTACGTACCATATTTGTAACTATCAACTTTTAAAAAAATTCTTTTACTGTTTTTGTTACATGCAATGTAATTCTGCTTTGTCTATAAGATATGGTCAAGTACAGCTTTGTGAAAGTTCTGATTCTCTTCCTCTTCCCTCCCTGTTTGTTAATGTTTATTCTGAAGTAAGCGTTAGCTCTACATACAAATCCCTGAAGAGAAGTTGTTTATAGAGACCACACTAATTATTTTAACTGTATACATCTGTGACATTTTCTTTAATTCAAACACACTACATTGTAGGGTGACTAATTTTTGAAGTATAAAAAAGCAAAAGGTTGTTACTTTGGTAAATAAACTAAGCTAGTTTAACATTTCAGCAAATGTTTAAGAGGGAAAAAATTTTTTTTGTCAATAGCTAAAACAGTATGAGCTACTAAAAGTTCGATTGAAATGTTTGAGAATTTTTTTTTTTTTCAATATTGAAAGCAAGCATTGACTTATATAAACCATTCTTGCAAGCCTTTACTATTTGGGTTCAAAATTCAGTGTTCTTTTTCTATTCTAAAGTTTGAGTCATGGTCTTAGGTATAGGTATCCAGCTAGGTATCAGCTATTCATTGTGAGGAAATTGGTTTCGAAAATCCCATTCCTTCTGAATGTCTTAAATAAAAAACAATAAGACCTGTAATCCTGATGTTAGTATGGAAGAGGAATATTCTACAGAAAATCTTAGATTAAAAGAATGTACCTGAATTCATATCTTACGTATTTATTGAGTTTTGCGTCAGCTAAAACATTAGTTTGTAGTCTAACCATAAGGGAAAAAAAGCTACCAATGTACTGTTCATTAGTAGTATTTTAAGTAACTATTTTTTGATTTTCGAAGTCATCAATAAAGTTTTGTCAGGAAGTTTGTTGCATCATTGCTCGAACTTGGTTTTTATTTTTTCCCTTGATATCAGTAGGAGTTTGTAAAATGCCTTTTTTTCTTCCCAAGGTTTCTATTATTCAGGTAAACAGTCTTACCAATGTGAATTACCTTTGTGTTTATGCTGATAGCTCTTTAAGAATGAAAATTTGAAGTAGTAAATTTCAATGTTAAGTCTGTTCACAAATAATCAAATTTCTTTGTTAACTCAGCAGTTGAATTAGTTGTATATGTTTGCATTAAAAGGAGATAATGCTTACTCTGTTAGTGTAAACTTTTTAAAGACCTTATATCTTTGGCTCTTTCATTCTCACTTGATTTGCAGTGCTTCTATAGCACCTGAATTGCAACCCAGGGGCATTAAGCTAACAGTTGCTGGAGGGGAGAGGAGGGAGAAAGGAAAACAATGTATGATGACTATTGGCTCTAAGATCTTTAGCGTTGCATGATTTCTTCTGTTAATGTCTTTCCGAAATTATTTTTTAGAGCAGAGGAGATAGTGTCAAAGCAAGTGTGTGTTGCATTAATCTAGACAATATTCTTCTGGTTAGAAATAATATTTGATTACACATAAAAGCAACATGCATTTCATCTCCGACTTAGGAGGATTTTTTGGGATCATTTTGTTTCATACAATTAAATTTAACCTTTATTTTGGCAGTTACCTGGTTAGGTACTAAATCTATGCTAACTTAATGTGCAGTTTTGCTTTTCTACTTAAGACAATAGAAAGAAAGGAATTTTTTGAGAAATCACTTAATGGGGAATGGGAGTAGTTAGCTAAATCCTATCAGCAGGTTTTAAGTGCAAATGCACTGCTTTAACCCAGATACATACATGATTTGATTCCTTTTACTCTTTAACAAAATTTAGGAAAGCCTGTCATACTGGGACATAACAGGAAGAGTGACTGTGAGAACTCTAATAGAATGCCATTTGAATGTTACCTTTTTTCAGAGCCAAGCATATAAAAAGTAGTCTGTGTATTTTTAAACCACACCTTCACACTTCATGACGTTATAAAAGCTGAGTGGTTCCTCATTAAGGGTATTTATTTACAAGTGCCAGAAAAATCTTAATTGATTATATTAAAAGACTTGTGTAGAGGAGAAAAGTAAAAATGAACCAAAGGATATTTTCAAAAAATATCCTTTTAAGAGTGTTTACGAAGGCCATGACTCAGTCCTTAGATGTGTATACCTTTAGACAGTCCAGGGATTTTAATATAAAAAGCAAAGTTATTGTTTCCCCATTACAGCCTTCTTTAAAGAGTTGTTAATGTTTTCTTTTGTCACAGTTAAAATCAGCATTGGGGTTTAAATTACAATTTGAGAAAAAATATTACCCAATAAGAATGAATGTAGATGCCTAAACGATTCTTACTCAGTGTGATGTATAATGCAACAGGGACTCTTGTAAATTGTCATATGCCAATAAACTGTCATAAGTGGTAAAGCTGTTGTTTGCTACATGATTTTTAGACTATTTCTGTGTGTTTTCTGTACAGCTGATTTCTGTGGTCTAGCTAAATTTTAGAATATTAGCTCCCTTGGTAGGTAAATAAGTGGAATAATGGGGGGAGGTGTTGATAAATACTTTATAAAAAATCTCTGAAAAGTCCTCTTTTTCTCTTGTTCCCCTCAGAAAATGGGATATTTTATAGCGGATAATTCCAAGTTATTTTTAGAGATTATAGGAACTGCAGGTTTTTAGTCTGGTTCTGCTTTTCCTGTGTTAGTAATAAAGGAACTTATTAACCATAATATCATGGGGAAGTTCTTTAAGGGGAATGATCTAAGTCTTGCCATGGCCCTGATAAGTTCTTTGAATCAGTCTATCAGCTTTAAATAGAATATTTTCACACAAATGTGTGCCAGGACAAACACATTTTAACTCATACAAATGGTAAATTCTTAATAATTTCATCCCTTTAAATATACTAAAGCAAAAGTAGTTAAGCTGGTAAACTAAGCTAGTTTTAACGTTTCAGCATATGTTTAAGAAGGAAACATTTAAGGGGTGTTCCTGGTGGCACAGCGGGTTGAGTGCTGTGCTGTGAGGATGTCCGCAGCCTCTGCAGCGCGGGTTCAATCCCTGCTGGCCAGGGAGAAACCCACGTGGCGTGGCAGATCTCTTCTGTCTCGCCTGTTGCTCCCCTCAGCAGTGTCCTCCGTCCATCTGCCTGTTCTACTCCCTGCTCTCTGATGAATTCTCTAACACTCTGGTGAATTCTCTCACCCTCCCATGCCTCTGACCTGTACCCCAGTTCTTGTATAAATAAATCTTTAAAAAAAAGGAAACATTTAAGACCTCTCTGTGCTCTCAAGTTTTGGGGTAACCTTAATGTTATATACACATTTCTTGCATAAAAATAAGCGATCTCATTTATTTGGGACATTTATTTAACTTTTTAAAGAGTTTACATAGTTGGCTTTTTTCTCTCGGTTTCAACTGAAATCCTTTTGAGATACACTTAAAGTTTCTGTTTGGAAAGAGGTAGTCCTGTCTCAAGAAATTGCTAAACGGGGAGGCAAATGGAGAAATTTCATTGTCATGATTTTTGATTTTACCTAGACTCAAATCTCTAGCCAAAAATACACATATATACATCCTTTAATTTTTAGAGATTTTTTGTTGCATACATTTAGGGTTCTCAAATGATTAAAAATTGAATTTGGACTCTAGTGTAATTCAATTTATTGGGGTAGATAATAGAAATTAGTCTTTCAGTGGTGTATGAAGTGGGGGGTTTGTTAGTAGGTTTCTCAGTATTTAGGACTATATAGAAATTTGTTCTTTCACTGTCTGATTCAAGAGCCTTAAAGATAGTCTTGGTTTATGAGCTGGATGCCCTATGTTGCACAAATGTTCAGTAATGGTGAGTGTATCAGCTATGAAGGAAGCCATGTTGTACTTTTATTAAGTACTAATTCTCTGTTACCTAATTATACTTCAGCCTTTAAAAATGGATCCCGGGCCTCCCCGGTGGCGCAGCGGTTGAGCGCTGGGTTGTGAAGCTGCCCGCAGCCTCTGCAGCGCCGGTTCGATCCCCGGCTGCTCCCCGGCCACCGGTGGAGGAGGGTCCCACATGGCGCGCAGACCTCTCCTGCCGCCCGCTGCTCCCCTCAGCAGTGTACTTCGGTCCTTCTGCCTGCTCTGCTCCCCGCTCTGGCTCTGGTGAATTCTCTCGCCCTCCCCTGCTTCTGACTGTACCCAGTGCATGTATAAACAAAACAAACGGACAAACAAACAAACAAATAAACATGCCTCTATTTAAAAAAAAAAAAAGTTAAAAAAATGGATCCCACTGGTATACAAAAGAGAACAGTCAAGTTTATATTTCACTGCCAGGACTAGGAAAAAAACCTAAATTATGATAGGTACCTCAGAAAAAGTTTTCCTATTTACATTTTAGGGGTTTCACAACAGTGAACTGATTTGCAGACTTTTAAAATGTGGACAGTAATATTGATGGTTGCAAGTAAAAAGGAGTTGGACAAATGACTTTTAATATTCCCATGTTACGTATTTCCCTAAGAATTGGAATTACTTTTTCTCTTGGGGTCTTCCAACTTTCTGCTTTAATAATAATGAGCCCTACCAATCGTAAAAGTAGATGATGGGGGCCTCCCCTATGGCGCAGCGGTTGAGCGCTGGGTTGCGAAGCTGCCCGCAGCCTGTGCAGTGCCGGTTCTATCCCCGGCTGCTTCCCGGCCACTCCCCGGCCACCGGAGGAGGGTCCCGCATAGTGCGCTGACCTCTCCTGCCGCTCTGCTCCCCGCTCTGGCTCTGATGAATTCTCTCACCCTCCCGCATTTCTGACTGTACCCAGTGCTTGTATAAATAAATAATCTCTAAAAAAAAAAAAAAGTAGATGATGGTAAGTAGATTTAACTGGTAGTAACTTGACAGGATTTACATTCACATGATGAATTATATTTAACAATTTCTTGGTACTGTCAGTAATCGCAAATTTCTTGGAATGTAAAGAGCCACAGAAATAGACTGTCGCTCTTACTGTCAGAATAGGGGTTTACTTTATATCTTAGAGAGTCCGAAACTGTGGAAGATGATAATTTTCCTGTTGTACTATACTAGAAAGGGGAATCTATTACCTTTTTACTAAGCTGCTAGGTTACTTAAAATGCTGCCATGAAGGGAATGTTTAATACGTTCTCTCTTTCTGGAAGAAGTTGAGTGTCATCACCAAATGTAGGCAGTAAGAAGATAAGAGTAAGATACAAAATTTAACTGGCTAGTGTCTGAACAATGATCTTTTTATACATGTCTTTGGTAGTGATGTTTAACTTCCAAAATCACAGTGGTAAAGATGCTGAAAACTTGACCTACTGTTCAAATAGTCTTCTCATTTGGATGCCTTGATGCTTAATTTCATCCTTTAATTGCCGTCTGTGGGGTGTTTCTCAACTATAAAATTACAATCATTTTTAAGCTAAATACCCTTACATGTTTTCTTGTTGTCTAAACTTGAGTCAAGATGAACTGTAGGGATTCCCTGTGAGCTGCCTTTTTGCCTGCTTTGCTTATCTTACTCATTAACCTATCTTAAAATTTTATGCACTAGTGAAAATTTATAAATTCCTTTTACTCATTTGAATACATATTTGAATGCAGCACATTCTTTTAGCCTAGCAACTCATTCCACATTATTGTCTTCCATTGCCAGAATATTTAGCATTGTGCTTTGTGTGTTACACAGGCACACATGCATGCACGCACACAGTACGCATATGATCAATGTCCCTTGAGTGTAAATAGGAAAGCGTTGCTTATGGATAGAGATTCGATTGGTATATGTCAATTTATTTTAGGGCTGTGGCTAAAACCTAATTCAAAATAAATTTTTATAAATACCAAAAGTCAGATTGCAGTGAGCAGAAGTGTTACATTGTTAATCTTGAATGCATTGCTCAGGCTACCTTATGTGTGGTTTTGAATGTACCACGGTTTTACAAACAGAACAGTTAACATATTTAAAGGAAGGGGAACCAGGACCTTCAATTCTGAAAGTGGTATGTGAATAGTGTGGAAAAGATATGTTTACTGTAAAAAAATTAACATAGATTCATTATTGATAGCTTGATGATTGATGTCAGTCTTGAAGAATGTAGAGAGAGAGCTTTCCCATAGAAGAGGAAACAATGAACAAATCATAGTACCAGAACGGCATTTGACATACTGCCTCGTCCAGCCCTATCATTTTAACATGTACCATCCTGAAAGGATGGAACCATGTCAGTGTATGTATAAAAATAATAGGTACATAGGCTTTTTTATTAACTGAGCTAATATTTGATACGTAGTTATTTAAAAAGTAGAGCAGACAGCTTGGGAGGAGTAGGTTTTCTGCTAGTGGAAGTATGCAGGATCTGATTATTGTCAGGAATGCTGTGCTATCTGATGAACATTTTTCCATTTCTCTGGATTTGCTCAAGAGCTACACTGCACATTCAGGTGCCTGTTGTATTAAATTGGATGTAGTCTTTTAAATAGCACTGGAAGTTTAAAGTATACTGTACTACTACTCCTGAGAGGCTTCAAGCACAGAATAGAAGGAGAAAAGCTTGAGTGTTTTTGTTCTATCTGAAATGTAAAACATGGAAGTGAATTGTCTGGGTGTGTGCATTCCAATTTAGAAATCACCCTTTCATGAGAACCCTTATGGTTACGGTCCGAGAGTCTGTCACATACTTGGAAAGAATGTATTTACATCATTATTCTTAATGGTAATTTGAGTTCACTTAACTGCTAAAACTCAGGCTTGTGTTACAAGACTAATGGGGTTCTACTAGGCAGTTGGCAAGATTGAGTACCCCTGTTTCTAGCCTTAGTCCAAATCTGCCCTCTTCATTTGTGAATTCAGTGAAAAATGTGGTGTGGGTGAAGAGATGAACAACAAGTTATCGGTCATCCAGAGCATGGTGTGATCACTAGTGTATGACTAGGGATTTTGGAAAAATGGTAAAATAACATCAACCAAATAACAAAACCAATTACTTATGGACACAAGTTAAAGTAGGTGATAAGCTTTTTCTACAATTACCCTAAATATTAGTGTAACTACCAACTTTGTTGTTACTGGTTTCTTGTGAAAGGAAGAGTTGGAGTAGCATCTGGCAGACTTGACCAAAGAAGAATCCCTAATTTACCAACTGATACTGGCGGTAATAAAGAGACTGGAACAGTTTACCGCAGTGAATTCTCCAGACAGCTTCCAAAATTACCTGTTAGGGAAAATAATCACTGAGGAGAAAATACAGAAAGTGGGACCAAGTTAAGCAGGACCGAGACAAGACCTAGCTCAAAGGGGGAGGGGAACACAGGACAGTCTTGGAAATCAAGATGCATTTCTGAACACGACTGAAAAATGACATGAAAGAGAGTCAGGAAGCTTTCTTGAATTCATCTCATTGAAAAACTGCAGGAAAATATTTCACATTAAAGTGATAATAGAAAACTGATGTCAAAGCTCGTAAAAGACTAAGAACATAATGTCTGAATTAGTAAATTGGAGGAAGACTGAATTTTGGGGAGAGGGAGGCAGAGAGAAGGAGAGGTGGGGAGTGGAGAGGAGAGGGAATCTGGAGTCTGAAGGAGGCTTTTGTACTGATCTGTTCTTATGGGATGTGTTCATTCTGACCCTATCATGTGCCTCATTATTAAGAGGCTGCGAAGGGTGGAGGTTTTAAGATGACGACTTATTTACTTACTAGGACAAAAGCGAAGGGTAAGGAACTTGAGAAAATTGTAGTTTACTAGTAAACAGGATTGCTGATCTCTTTGCTCCCTACTTTCACATTGTCGCTCTGCCCTCTTGACCCTATTTTCATCCTTTCATCTCTCAGATAACCGGATCTGAACCTACAATCCCTACTGCTTTGCCAGTTGCTGCTTAGTTGCTTCCATATTCAATTATTCAAATACCGAACACCTCTCTTATACCAGACACTTGTAAGTCACCTGTAAAGCACTGGAGATAAAACGTGGATCAGAAAAAGTTCCTGTTCTGGAGTTCACAGTCTAGTTTGGCGGTAGGGGGAGCATCAATATACGTGGGTGATCAGTGCTATAAAGAAAAATAAACCCAGGGAAGAGGCGTAATTTTTGCTAGTCCCATGAGCTTAGACATTCGCTGAATGAACGAATGATCCACAATAAACCGCGGCTCCGTGGCATTCTGAGAGAAGCGCCCCGTTTCGGGAGCGTTAACCTGCGAAGATGTGTGGGGTATGAACTCCGGCTCTCTAGCGGGACTCGAGCCCATAAACAGACCCACAATTCCGGGTTCGACTCGCGTCTTTGAGGACACCCGGGAACCTAGAGCGCGACGTGCGCGCGCGCCCCGCCCCAGGGCGGCCTTCCCGCCCGGCCGCGTCAGCACGCCCGTTGGCTGCTTCGCGGAGCGCCCGCCTTCCTAAAGGGGCGGCGCCCCCAGCGAGCCGGCTCATTTAACCGTAACTAATGAGCGACGTCGCCCCGCAGCCAATCACAAGCAGCGATCCCCGCCTGGCCCAATGAGGTCGGCCACGCGTCGTGGCCCGCGGAGTTTGATTTTCCGCCCGGGACGCGGAAGTAGCGTCCTGAAGACGGGCCGTGGGTTGGGGGTTCGGGGCCGGGCGGACGCGGGGGCGAGGGGCTGCAGGGTCCTCACCACCCGGGGCCTGCCCGCCGAGGCGATCGGCGGACCCGCACTCACGTCCGAGCGCGCCCGTACCGCGACTGGCGCGCGCCGGGCTGCGTGGACGGGATCCCGCCCGCAGCCGACGCCCGGGGCTTGCTGGCAGGTCGGAGTCCGAGGCAGGTGAGCGGGGCGGCCTGGGAGGTTTGCAGAGCTCCAGAGAGCTTGCGGCCACAGCCGTGGCACGACAGCACTAGTCTCACTCACAACCTGGTAGAGTTTTCTATTCCTTCTATTTAAAATAGGCGAGATGGGGTGGGTGTGAGGAAGAACTACTCACCTTTTCGCTACACCTGGACTCGCACCTCTGCCTGCCTTCCAAGGTGGCCCGAACCCATCCCTCCTCGGAGTCTCAGTGCCAAGCTCAGGAGACAGGGAGAGTCTCATGGCTCAACCGGTTCCCTGTTCAGTGTCCAGGTGATCTATTGCTGAGTGATGTTAACTATGCCCCTTCATAGACCAAACACCCTATGAAATTTTAATTGCAATTTGACACATACAGTTTTCTTTCCCAGCCCTTCACTACTCCTCCCCCGCCCCTTGTCTCTTTCTCTTTGACTTCCTACAAAACAGTGGTGGGTGTAAGAGAGGGACTCTTCCAGGTTATTTAATATAGTTCAAATTGTTAGGGGGAAAGGATGTTCTGAGCTAATCCCATACAGGCTTTGTGGACTCCACCCCCACTCCAGACCAAAGCCATCAGGACATTGGGAAAGACAAATCCTGTCACCACCAAAGGGAAGGTGGCTGGGACCTGAGGGTGGAATTAAGCAACCAGGTGTGGTATAAAAACCAAACACGTGGGCCTTGGGGGTCCCTCTCTCCTGGCCTCCTGGCTTCATGGCTCCTGGCTCGGGGCCAGCTCTCAGAGTGCCATTTGGGATTCCAGATCCGGGGATCGTAGGAAGCATTTAAAACTTTGTCACCCACTTTTCTCCCTAAGTTGTACATTTCCTCATTTGCCCTTCCCTTGTAAATAAACCTTTTATTAAGCTTTCATGTATGCCTGCAGTAGAGTATTAATAAGTCCTTTTAAGCGCGTGGGTGAGGACCCACAGTCAGGCACCCTGTTTTGTATCGGGGCTGCCCTGTAACAATATGGCAATTATTTATTATTCAAGAATATTTTCTAAATTTTTTTCCTTGAAGGTGTCAAAAAGCCCATAATGTTTCATTGAATTTGCCTCTGTATTTGCTTCATCGATGTCTGTCATATTGAATATCCTAAGAGAGATGCTGGAATATTTTGGTGTTCCCATAGATCAGGTAAATGTCTTTTAATGGATTTGAATGAACTTGGTATATTTGTTTTTGGGTCTCATTTTGGAAGTGATTTATATGTAATATTTAATATAAGGCAAAATTGCTGTTTCTCTTTAGGTGTTAAAAAAGCAAATTTACTGTAGTAAGCTTTGATAGAGGTGATTTCAGTATGTTTGCAAGCATAGGAGGAACCTCATAGACAGGAAAAAATTTAAGAGAGATGAGAAAATGACTGAGCAATGTTCTGCAGAAGGTAGTTGGACAGGGGACGTAAATAAATACACTTTAGGTTATAGGTTTACACCTCTTGGTATGTTACCACACCATCCCAGACCCACCACTAAAGCATCAGCAACCCCCAGTGGACTATGGTGAAGGATAACTGGTGCCTGGTGGTAGGCCTGAGGTGGTGTGCTAACATCTGAAGAGGTGTGAATATATAACCCCAAATCATATACAGTGTTATAAACCATTGCTACCTCAATTAAATGTGATACATTAAAAAAACCTTGAAAGAAGATAGTCAAAAGTAGAATAGAAATGAGGGATGGTGGAGAGATTTTGAATAGAGAGAAATAAACTTGAGGTTTGTCATATCAGAGTATTCCATTTTCTCAGTAAGAGCAGAGGTAAGGCCCTTTGCAGTTAATGGAACTGGCATTGGGAATTTCAGAAATTGGCCACATGTCACCATTAAGTAATTAAAATATCTAAACTGAGGTCTACAATGAATTTTAAAGACAGTTTGAAAGGAAAAATGTAATTTCAACTTTTATACTGTCGATTACATGTGTTGAAATAATATTCTAAATATTGAGTTAAAGTATATTGAGGAAAATTGCCTACTTTTTCAAATGTGGTAACTAGAAAATTTAATTTTCATGTGTCGTTTGTATTTTCTTTCTTTTGGAGAATGCTAAGGTGGTTCTAGTGTAACCATGTTGAAAACTGTTGCCTTGAAGGATTCAAAAGGAATCCTGCCCACGGAATTCACAGTATAATGGGGGAAGAGAAAGCTACAAATGAAACAAAGTCACATGTAATTGTGTGCCCTGTATGGTACTTATTGGAACTAATTTAGGAATTCAGAGCCCAGAAAGCTCCTGAGAGTGGAAATAATCAAATTTGTATAGGAATGTGAATCTGACATTAATAGACAGGTGAAAACTGAACCAGAACTGGGGCTAAAGTTGCTTGGCAGTGAGGATAGTATTAGCTTGTTTTGGGGATGACGAGAATTTCTTAACCCAAAAGAGTGTATGTTTGTGTTACTGGGTAGTAGGAAATTAAGTTGGATAGAATTGGCCAAGTTGCAGAGGACTTTAGAGTGATTGGAGAATGAAATGAAATGCCTGGTGTATTTTGTAAGCTGGCAGAATTGACAGAATATTAACTCAATCAGCATTTAGTGTTAAATTGAGGTTTTTGGATGTGGTCAGATAAATTCAGAGCCTTTATTGTTTCAAAGCAAAAAAAAAAAAAAGTAAAAGTAAAAACAAATATCAAAGAGACAGCATGACTTTTGGCAGAAGGATTCTATGGGCTGATGATGTCTACATCTTTCTTAACTAGGCCTGTAGCTTCATTTTCACCTGTGCTGTGTATTCTGTATGCTGATGATTCCCAAATCTATGTCTAATACCAGGTTTTCTTCTGCGCTCCACAACTGTTATCCATCTGCTTACTGTATATGCTGCCTATTGACTATTTCCATGACGATACTAAAAGGATGCTGCTACCTATATCTGTTGCTTGCAGTAAACTTTGTTTTTCTTATGGGATCTTAGGAACAATGAACAATCCAGTTTTCAGTGCATTCTTTCTTTGTATTAAAATCTCTGCCATAGAATAAATATTACATCATATTTTGGGGAGGTACTTGTGCAAATAGCTTATGCCAACATGGGAAGCCGGAGCCAAAAGACAAAATATTACTTGAATTATTATAGTAGCACATTTTTATTATTTTTTTGAAAACTGAGTTCTAGCAGATATATTACACAGTAAAGCATCTTAAAATTGCCTAAGACCTGATTAATTTATTCCCTTTATCTCTATAAGGGAAATTACTTGAGTCTACTGTGTATTATTTTACTGCATGAAAAATTGAAATTATCAGTTTTGATTGGGCCAAAATATGGGATTTTTAGGTGAAAGGAAGGAGGAGGGTGTCTGTTTTTCTGAATAAACTTCCCAATGGCATTTAGACATTACCAGAAATAGAACAAAGTGAATTTGTGGTGCTATTTTAAGAGATTTTTTTCCTCTGGAATGTATATATATTAACTCCCAGTCTTTTTTTTTTAAATGCTTTATGTTCTAAATAGGCTTTGCAGATTTGGGAAAATAAAGACTATGGATCTACTCGGAGTATTGTTCGTATTATTGGGAAAATCCTTCCTTTAGCACCTTGCCCCAGGCCTACTTTTGAGGTAAGTAAGTCAATATGCATTATTTAAGAACACTGCATAAAAAAAAAATCTTACTCCCAAGGACATAAGGTAAAACAATAAAAGGAGAGTTGTTTTTTTTTTAAAGATTTATTTATGCATACAAGAGCTGTGGTATAGGCCAGAGATGAGGGGGTGGTGGTGAGAGGATTCACCAGAGACAGAGTGGGGAACAGAACAGGCAGACTGACTGAAATACACTGTTGAGGGGAGCAGCAGGCGAGACAGGAGAGGTCTGCTGCGCCATGTGTGTTGTTCCCTGGTGGGCTGGGGATCAAACTCCTCGTGCTGCAGAGGCTTCGGATTGCTTCACAGTGCGGTGCATAATCCCTTGCGCCACCAGGGAGGCCCAGAAGGGTTATTTTCTGCAAGCCAAAAACCTTCAGTTTATCCCTGGAAAAATAAGTCATTACACAGGGTTTTGTTTCTTTAAATAATTACCTTCAAAGCTGAGCAAATGTAGAGCAATATCTGAGTAACTCCTTAGTCTTCTAATTTCAATTTTCTAGATGACACTAACCAGGGGAGAGACTATTGCTACATGTGTACTCAGAATAACATTTTCCTCGGTACTTTTTGTTGCTAATGGGTGCATGCTTTCTTTTTCCTTTTCACTGTTGGATTCTTTAATTTCCTTAGGACATGTCTTTCCCCCTTACTCTGTGTAGAACTCTGACGTTATTTTTCTTTTTCAATTTAGTTGGTCCCAGTCTTAAATTCTGTAGGGACGAGTAACTGTGGATCTGTAGTCCCCTCTTTTGCTGATATTCTGTGTGTGGCAAATGAAGAAGAAGCCAGTTGCCTCAGATTTCGGTAATTTTACATACTTTTTGAAAAGTGGGATATGGGCTATAAATCTGAATTCTTGCATGTGTTGGGACTTGTTCAAACTAATTGAGCCTTTTTAGTTCATCTGTATTGCTCTGTGGCCTACTAAAATTTTTCCAATAAGAATGACTGGATGTTTCTCATTTTTAGCTAGTTTTCCTAATGCACATTTGAACCTAATACCAGGTCTAGGAAGGAAAGGTATTAAGAAGACATCAAAATCTCTAGGTTCATTTTTAAGAGAAAGTGGTTTCCTGTACTAGAGATTAGATTTGTTTTGTTTTATATGTTTAGCCAAAACTTCTGCAGTTTACCCTTGAACTACATGGGTAAGTGTACTGACCCTCAACATAGTTGAAAAATTGAGAATGCAAGCTACGTAAGATGTTGTGCTTGCCCTTAATGAGTATTGAGACAATCATGAGATAAAGAGCAAGTCTGATTTTATTTTGGTGTCTTTAGTCTTTGTGTTTTTTTTTTTTTTTTTTTTTAAAGATTTATTTATTTATTTATACAAGCACTGGGTACAGTCAGAAGTGCGGGAGGGTGAGAGGATTCACCAGAGCGGGGAACAGAACAGGCAGACCGAGGAAACACACTGCTAAGGGGAGCAGCGGGCGCGGCAGGAGAGGTCTGTGCACCATGTGGGACCCTCACCGGTGGCCAGGGATCGAACCAGCGCTGCAGAGGCTGTGGGCAGCTTCACAGTCCAGCGTTCAACCTCTGCACCACCAGGGGAGGCCCTGTCTTTAGTCTTTGAAAGACTAATATTTCTCTTGGAAAATTTCCTTCCCTCATTCTGTCTTTCTCTCCATTTTTTCCTTCCACCCACAGAAGTAGTATATGGAAAAATGAAGAAGAGGAGAAAATGGAGTTTTCCCATTCTTTGCAATTAGTTTGGGATCCACTGTTACCTGCTCTAAGACATAAAAAAACAATGAAAAATAATCGCCCTTCAAGTGATGCTGCATTTAAAAAAATAGCTGCTCTTGAAGATGAACTAACTTCTCTTCGCTCTCAAATTGCTACAATTGTGGCAATGCAGGAACTGAAAAGAAGTACAAATTCTAGTAAGTAACATATTGGATTTTTTTTTTTTTTATTTATTTATTTATTTATTTATTTGTTTGTTTCTTTGTTTATACATGCACTGGGTACAGTCAGAAGCGCGGGAGGGTGAGAGAATTCACCAGAGCCAGAGCGGGGAGCAGAACAGGCAGGGGGACCGAAGTACACTGCTGAGGGGAGCAGCGGGCGGCAGGAGAGGTCTGCGCGCCATGTGGGACCCTCCTCTGGTGGCCGGGGAGCTGCCGGGGATCGAACCGGCGCTGCAGAGGTCGCCGGCAGCTTCGCAACCCAGCGCTCAACCGCTGCGCCACCAGGGAGGCCCACATATTGGATTTTTGTTTCAGTTAGATGCTACTCAGTATTTAACTCAGTATAGGTTTGAGTAAGGATATTTGATGCTACTGCATTTTGTGAATGACATTAAAGGTAAAAGATTGCTGGGTGTATGAAATTATGTCTGATAGTTGTCAGAATGAATTAAGACACATTTGTGGTGAGAACACTGACTTTGGTTTAAAGAAGAGCTTGCTAGTTTATTGCTGAAAATCATGCTTTTGTATTTAAAAGGTTTGTTTTTTAAAGTAAGGTATTTTAACTTCAGAAAAGCATTGGAAATTAAGAGGATGGAAACATTAATTTGAAATGAGTATAGATTTGAAGCTTCATATATTTGTAGTTTAAAGTTAATGTTGCTGTACTTCCAACAGGCTTAGGTGGGTGATTCTCTAAATGATCCTTTTCTAAATTTTAGACTTAACTTGCTTTCACCAATACTCATACACACAATATATATGTATAAATACATCAACACACATATAATTTATGTAACATATATTTTATAGTATTATAAATAGTATAAAATTTATATATGTAATATGAATTTATGATTATATATTAATAATTAATATAAAATATAAAATATAAATGCATTTTTTAAAACAATCATGTTTGAATTTTGAGCCAATTTTTCATGAAAGCATTATATACTCAATACCCACCTTTGCTCTTGCCTAGAAAACATGTTTGTATGGTTCTACAGTGTCATAATAGAATAGGTATACCAGTTTGAGTGTTTCTAACTACAAGTTTTTGATTATGTTTTAGCTTGATTAAATAGAGGCTGACATTTTCATTGTACGTGAACTACTGAAAAAGCACCTTTTATTTTTTCTTTAAAATGTGTGCTTCCCTTTCCTCCTGTTAGGACCTACACACAGATTCCTAATTGAATTCGAAATCAGTTTACTCTTTGGCTTGCCTCTTATAGAAAATGCTTAGCAGATGGGATTGCTTCTCCATCCTTCATTACTTTCTTTGCATTGCAGAAATTGCTCCTGTGTTGGTTCTCATTAGTGTTATGTGTGCTGTTGGAGAGAATGTTGCATGATTTTTCAACAAACTTTTTTGTTTTTAGACTCCTTTGACTTGAATGATGGACCTATATGTTTGGGACAAAGGCCGTCATGGGAGACTGCTCAGCTGAGGGGTGAACCAGATCTATTTTCAAGTTCATCGCCTCCCTCACCTCCTCCACCTCCACCACTGCCCCCTCAGTTACCTTCTCTACAGCCTCCCAGTTCTCTTCACCTAGAATCTAATAATATATGTAATTCAGATAATTCAGGGACTGAAATGAAAAAACAACACCCAGGTGCTAGTAAGACCAATTGTAGTCATCGTTCAAAACACCAGAAAAGTAAAGATGTTCCAAACATGCTGGATGTTCTAAAGGATCTGAATAAGGTGAAGCTTCGTGCGATTGAGCGGTATGTTGTCATAATTTGAGAGATGAACTAAATTTTATTGATGATTTAAAGAAATTATAGTTGTCAAAGTAAACATATCAAATCTTTTATTCTTCACCCTGAATACCCTTCCTGGAATGATCATTTTCAATTTTCATATCAGGAAACATTTACAGGCAAACTATTTCCTATAGTATCATTACATTTTGTTTGTTGAATAATTTTTTTTTAAATTAGATTTAATAATTGCCTCTCAGTTGCATTTTTTTTTTCTTCTTCTTTGGAAATTCCTCTCCAGGAACTCTCTGACCTGTTCCCACCTCACATGTTGCTCTAAGACCGCTGCATTGTTCTCATCCTAAGAATTTCCTTCACTATCATGAACATTTTCTTCCTCTTCTGCCTATGTTGCTTCACCCATTTTTTGGGTGTCCTATCTTCTTGTAACTTCCTGAGAAAGGGTGCTTATAGACTATTTTTGGACCTTGCATATTTGAAAGTTATTTTTTTTCCACACTTAATGACTACTTGGCCTGGGTATGTAATAGGTAGAAAATAATTTTACTCAGAATTTTGAAGACATTATTTCATTGATTTCTTGCTTCCAGTATTCCTGTTGAGAAGTAGATCTATCTCTGATTCCTGATACTTTGTATGGAAACTGTTTCTTTATTCTTTTTTTTTTTTTTTTAAAGATTTATTTATTTATTTATATAAGCACTGGGTACAGTCAGAAGCACGGGAGGGTGAGAGAATTCACCAGAGCCAGAGTGGGGAGCAGAGCAGGCAGGCAGAAGGACTGAAGTACACTGCTGAGGGGAGCAGCGGGCGGCAGGAGAGGTCTGCGCGCCATGTGGGACCCTCCTCCACCGGTGGCAGGGGAGCAGCCGGGGATCGAACCTGTGCTGCAGAGGCTGCGGGGCAGCTTTGCAACCCAGTGCTCAACCACTGCGCCACCGCCACCGGGGAGGCCCTCCAGGGATGTTCTTTTATAATGTTCTTTGATGGAATTATTATGGAAATTATCACCTTGGGGTCAGATTGTGTTGGTCTTCTAAGATGGGTAATCCTCTCTGCCCCCACCCCTGGCTGATAATCTTTTCTGACCCCACCTCATGTTCCTAGAAACTTCCATGGCAAGGTTTAGTCTAAGGCTCATTAATCATCCCTACCCCCACCTCTGGTATTTGTCCTCCTGAGATCTTTCATCCTTAGGTTTTCTATTCTGAGTTTCTATCACTTGTATTTGTTTGTCAACAAGATGGTTAAACTTACCCAAAGTTTTAACTTACTCAAATTTTTTAGGTCACCTGGAGGTAGACCCATTCATAAGAGGAAAAGACAGAATTCACCCTGGGATCCAGTGGCTTTGATATCCCATGCACTTAAGCAGAAATTTGCATTCCAAGAAGATCATTCCTTTGAGAAAGAAAACAGATCATGGGAGTCCTCCCCATTTTCTAGTCCGGAAACTTCAAGGGTGAGCTTATAATAATGTAAAGTTGAACTTTTAGATTTTTAAATGTGTTGGTCCTATGTTTTCCAGTTCTCTAGAAGTGATTATCCAGAATACAATTGTTAAGGTTGATGATGTTTCTGTTGACTTACACATGCTCATTTAGCTTCTACCCTCCATGAAGTGTTTTGAAATAAAACACTTGATTTGAAAAATACCGCTGCATAGGTTTATCCTGGTTTGTCCTGACAGGTGCTAGCTCGATGTTGCCATATGCACAATGACTGAGGTCTCGAACTTTTGAAAGGACTAGAGAAGAATGTGCCAAAGATTCAGGTTAATCGTGTTTCAATGTGAACCGTCCACTGTTTATCTCAGTCCAGTATAAGGCCTTGGGATTATTTAGTTAAATAGGATGTTATTTAGTTAAATAGGATGTTATGTGATCATAATTATCTTCAATGACAATACTTCTTGGATCTGCTTAGAAGGACTCACACTATATTTCAAACAAACACTGAAAAGGACAACACTATATTTCAAACACTTGACCCGTATGATCTCTGCTTTTTTTTTTTTTTTTTTAGAGGCATGTTTTATTTATTTATTTGTTTGTTTCTTTGTTTTGTTTATACATGCACTGGGTACAGTCAGAAGCGCGGGAGGGTGAGAGAATTCACCAGAGCCAGAGCGGGGAGCAGAGCAGGCAGAAGGACCGAAGTACACTGCTGAGGGGAGCAGCGGGCGGCAGGAGAGGTCTGCGCGCCATGTGGGACGCTCCTCCAGTGGCCGGGGAGCAGCCGGGGATCGAACCGGCACCGCAGGGCCGCAGGCAGCTTCGCAACCCAGCGCTCAACCGCTGCGCCACCGGGGAGGCCCGATCTCTGCTTTCTTGAAGTCTCTTCTTTAGTTTGGATACCCCTCTTTTGGGGGTGGTTTTCCCATTTCACAATTTAGTTGAGGTACAGCATAAGAAAAAGCCTTGAGAATGGGAAGAGTGTGACAGGACAGTGTCTGTCAGGTGGGTGGCCTTGAGGAGTAGCAGATGTGACAGAAGGAGACCCAACAACTTAAAAAGCAGATGGCGACTCAAAGAGCCTAGCAGAGTGGGTGGAAATTGCCGCGCTCACATTCCAGTATGTATTGTGTGTGAGTACATACAATATTAGATGTTAAACATGTAGACTGAGATTCTTTAAGGAGGTGAACAAGTACATAGTTCATTTTGGAACGATTGCAATAAAATCCATGTGTCTAAAATAAATGTGTAACATTTGTATAGAAATTATAACGTACAGGCCTCTCTGGTGGTGCAAGGGGTTAAGAAACAACCTATGAAGCAATCCGAAGCCTCTGCAGCACGAGTTCATTCCCTGGCCGGCCAGGGAGCAACCCACATGGCGCAGCGGACCTCTCCTGACTCGCCCACTGCTCCCCTCAGCAGTGTATTTCACTCAGTTTGGCTGTTCTGCTCCCCACTGTGCCTCTGGTGAATCCTCTCACCCCCCACACCTCTGGCCTGTACCTCAGCACTTGTATGCATAAATAAATACATCTTTTTTTTTTAAAAAAAGGAATCATAACATACAAAATATTTTTTACCCATCTCATTTGATTTTCATAGCAATAGCCTAAAGGGAAAAAAAGCCCACGTTACCTGTTTCACACATAAGAAAAATAAGCCTGAGTGTGTAAGTGATGTGCCCATAATCCCACCTCTAAAGGGCAGAGCAATGACCATTTACTAAAATTCTAGGATGTTTATAAGCCTTTAGCTTTCAAAGAAATCTACTTTAATGAGATACTATTTCCAAGCGATAGGATAAATGAAGTGTTACTGGGTTGTCTTTCATCATTCACTGTTCTGAGAATTTTCGCTCTAGTCAGGTTCAGGCATCTTAGAGAAAGAGTCATCGTTTTTGCATATTTTATTGCACCCAGCTTAGGGCAGGATGCGGAGACTCAGACTGTTGTCACTGCAGCTCCGTGTGTGGTGGCGACTGTCCTGCTGCCTTTATGTCCTCAGCTCTGAGCGGTGCCTGACAGTCACTCCAAACACTGCTTATTGTGGAAAGAACTGAACACCAGCATTTGTGTTGCTTTCTTTTTTTACATTATAATGATTTCTGTGTTGAATATTTGCTTTATTTCAGTTTGGACATCGTACTTTTCAGTCAGGACAGTGAACTAAAAGAAGAACTGAGCAACACAAAAAGGTGCGAATCGTGCGCTGCATTGGCACCTACAAGGGAAGCTTGTAGAAGTAACTTGCATGTCCTTCACTGTAAACCACACAGTTTCTGTTGAATGAAGGTAGCCGAAGTCTGGACACTGGTGTATTGTAGGGCAGAGGTCGTAAGAGCCCTGGCTCTTAACAATACCTGTCTCTGGTTTTGGAAGACCGAGCAGTTAACAGTCTATTGATGATGATAGAGGTATGGAATTTTTTTTTCATGTATGTTAATGTTATTAAAAACTGTATACATTATACCTCAAATGGTTTTCTTTCTTTCTTTTTTTTTTAATGGTTTCTTAAGGGCTAAATAATAAATGATAATGTTTCTCAGAACAGTAGGGCTTCATTATAAGTAACAGACCATTTTAATGTGTTAAGAAATTAATGCAAACTAAGTCTATATTCTACTTAGCAAATGAAAGTATGTTTGGGTTTTATAAACAATGTATTAAAGCAATTATGATGTCCTAGTTTAAGAACCTTTGAATCTTTTAAAAATTGATAGTGATCTAGTATGTTTGACTTCCAGGAACTTGAAATTTTCAAAGACTATAAAATTATGTTTTCATTAAGATTCTTAAAGTTTGAGTCATATAGGTTAAGCTTCCTAAAACCTGAGGCAGCAGTTATTCTTGGAAACTAAATTTAATTGTTAAATGCTAGTAGAAGTATTTAAGGAATCGTCTTGATAAAATTTGCCAACGCTTGCTATATAAATATATATGCTTATCATTTAATTTCCTTTGTTTCTTATTGCATTTCTACTGTTTCTTTGTAAATAAATGTGCCTTTAGAATTTGGTTGTGCTCTGTAGTAATTCAAATTCACATTTTTTCCTTACTACTTTGAAAAGAACTGAGTTGTAGGCCAGAGGTGTAGGGGGTAAGAGGATTCACCAGAGACAGAATGGGGAGCAGAGCAGGTGGATTTACTGAAATGGGCTGCTAAGGGGAGCAACGGGCAAGACAGGAGAGGTCTGCTGTGCCATGTGGGTCAGCTCCCTGGCTGGGGATCAAACTCAGGCCATCGCAGTGATAGTGCTGAGACTTAACTCCTAGACCACCACGGAGGCCCCCTTTATAGGTAGTTTCTTGTCATGTTTCCCTAGACTCTTCAGACTGTGCAACAGGCTGCTTAGCTTCCATTGGACTGGCTGTCCTTTCAGAAAGTCCGGTTTGCCCACAGCTTTCTTGTTGCTGTGATAGAGTTGATTGCCTGGCCCACCTCCATTCCCAGCCCCCTTCTCGCTGGCCACCCTCCAGTTGGGAGTGGTCTGGCAGCTGTCATCTGTGACAAATGAGGCACAGGCGTCAGGTCACAGCGACGAAAACCCTGACATCACTCAACTGTTGCACCAATACCAGCAAGAGCCATCTGCAGATTTGTTGTTAAATGAAAAAATAAGCAAAATGTGGATTTTCTGTTTCTTGTAGCTGCAAGTATTCTGATACAGCAATTTGCTTTGATACCTACCTGTTATTCCTTCTGTAGTTTTTGTATCCCTCCTAACCTTTTTTTATTGATTATTTGTCCTTGCTGTGGATCCTGACCCTCCAGTACATTTCCTCACCCAACCTCTCACTGTCCTTGTGACTAGAATTCTTTCCCCCTGAAATAACTGCTCTTTATCCCCTGAGGTCATTTCACATTGTCATTTTTTTAGTTTTCTTATTCAGAAACATGTAATCAATATCCCTCCACCCCTACCCCAACAACCAGTGGAAAGCAGCATCTTTGAAAGTAAACATCCACTGTCAAGTACACTGTATTTCCCAAGAAGCCTCAGGATGATGATGGGGGCCCTTTTCTTTTCTACTGCACAGTGAATGTGCTGCCTGCCCACTGCACATTTCAACACCACGATGTGTCGGTGTTGAGTTGATCCTGGGCTCACCTCTTTAGAAGTGTGGCTTCTGGTATCCTGGGAGACATGAGTTCATGCTCTGAAATTCCCCATTAGGAGGCTTCTGGAAGGACTGAAACAAACTCCTGGTGACTTGTGTTTGCTGCAGAGGTTGTGAGGGCTAGGCCTTTATGAACCTATATAAAAATTACCTAGTATTTATAAAATCATACTTTGTAATGCATTTTAAACATGTGAACACATTGTATATGCAGTAACTTTTTTTTTCAATATATTTTTTTAAGATTTATTTATTATTATTTATGCAAGCACTGGGTACAGTCAGAAGCACAGGAGGGTGAGAGAATTCACCAGAGCCAGAGCGGGGAGCAGAACAGGCAGAAGGACCGAAGTACACTGCTGAGGGGAGCAGCGGGCGGCAGGAGAGGTCTGCGCACCATGTGGGACCCTCGCCTGTGGCCGGGGAGCAGCCAGGGATCGAACTGGCGCTGCAGAGGCTGCGGGCAGCTTCGCAACCCAGCGCTCAACTGCTGCGCCACCGGGGAGGCCCTATGCAGTAACTTTTTGTTAGTTATGTAACTACTAACTTTTTAGTGACTAAAATATAAATTCTCTGCTTGCCTTCTTTCTCAAATATCTTAAGTTAGGTGGCCTTCTTCCCAACTGGCTATCAGTTCCCGTAAACTCAGATAAGGTGTTTAATCAAGGGCTTTTATAAGGCATTTCAATATTATATTTGGAAAACAAGAGAGAAAATCTGATTGCAGCAAGTTAACAGGCTACAATGCAGTCTCAGCAGGGGACTCAGGAGATCCTATGGGGAGCTCAGAAGAGGGGATCACCCTTCAGGGTTGTCTGCCACAGCCCTGAGGGTGCTATCTTACCCTTTTCACATCTACCAAACATCACATCGGTAAGAGGGGGCATGGCCTTGAGAGAATTAAGGACGGTTTCCAGGAGCTTTGTAAATCAGTTCTAAAGATGGATTGTAGAGGTGCTTCACAGCCCACCACAGAGGACGTGGCTTCTCATCATGTTGCAGAGTCCAGCCTGCCATACACTGCACTTCAGTAGTTCCTCTTGTCCAGAAACCCCAGCATCCATTGCCCTGTCATCCTTTTACCAGGCTAGTTCTCATTTTATCGAAAATGTTTGCATTGACGATGTGGTACATATACACCATGGAATATTACTCAGCAATCAAAAAAGATAAACACATGCAGTTTGCAGCAACATGGATGGCGCTGGAAGGGATCATGCTCAGCGAAATAAGTCAGAAAGAAAAAGAAAAATACCGGATGGTCTCACTCATAGCAGGAATTTAGAAAACCTAAATAAGAGACCAGGAAAAAGACTAATCAATACAATGTAAAAATCAAAATCAACAAGCAACTATAAACCAGAGACACTCTATGGGGGGGGGGCAAAGAGGGGCGGGGAAAGGAAGGACTAGAGTCAAAATAAGGGGGGGCGCAATTGTATGGGGAATATAACCAAAATGAAAATGCATACATTGTGCAAAGATGAAAAAAAAGATGTAAGAATTATATAAAATAAAATATTAAAAAAACCTGGAGCCAGGAAGGGTCAAAAGGTTTTTCTGATGCCAAAGATCTTTTGCCTGTCAGTCTTCCTCCCCTGCATTTTCATGAAAACTACTCACGCTGTACAAGAATTCAGATGAGTCCCTTGACTTGGGAACCAATGTAAGAATTGCTGGCAATGTGCCAGGGAACTGAGTTATCACTTGTCTGGGAGGCCAGATGGAGAGGGTGCCAAAGGCCAGTGCACACCATTAACATCCTGACTTGCTGGCTTGGTGAAGACATAAGCACAACTCAATTTGGTTGACACTTTAGTTTTTGTACTGTGTGCCAATACTCTTACCAAGGAGAGGTGGTCTTGGGCCGGACAGGGTAAGGGGAGGGGAGAGAGGCCTCTGGGTCCCTGAGAACTTAATTCCTTTGTGCTTGGGGGTAAGTTGGGTGACAGCAATCTCTCATTTTTTTTTTTTTTTCAGATTTATTTATTTATGCATACAAGAGCTGGGGTACAGGCCAGAGATGCAGGGGGTGAGAGGATCCACCAGAGACAGAGTGGGGAACAGAACAGGCAGACCGACTGAAATACACTGCTGAGGGGAGCAGCGGGCGAGATAGGAGAGGTCTGCTACACTGTGTGCGTAGCTCCCTGGCCTGCCTGAGATCAAACTGGTGCTGCAGAGGCTGAGGATAGCTTCACAATGCTGTGCTTAACCCCTTGTGCCACCAGGGGGGCCCAATCTCTCATTTTTAATGGTGCTTACCATATATCATCTCCTGTTTTTAGTGCTTTCCATATATTGACTCTTTTTTAATAACTTCATTTGAATTAGTTATATTATTAGTTAATAATAATAGCTATTAGTTAATTTATAGAAGAACTGGGGTGTAGAACAGAGGTGCCTCGGGGTGGGGGGGTGTGAGATGATTCACCAGAGACAGTGGGGAGCAAAACAGGCAGATCTACTGAAATTCACTGTTGAGGGGAGCAACGGGCAGGTCTGCTGCGCCATATGTGGGTCAGCTCCCTGGTCGGGGATCAAACTCAGGCTGAAGCGGCATAGTGCTGACTAACCCTTGTGCCCCTAGGGAGGCCCCCATATACTGATTCTTTTTTTTTTTTTTTAAAGAGGCATGTATTTTTATTTATTTGTTTGTTTGTACATGCACTGGGTACAGTCAGAAGCGCGGGAGGGTGGGAGAATTCACCAGAGCCAGAGCGGGGAGCAGAGCAGGCAGAAAGGACCGAAGGACACTGCTGAGGGGAGCAGCGGGCGGCAGGAGAGGTCTGTGCGCCATATGGGACCCTCCTCCGGTGGCCGGGGAGCAGCCGGGGATCGAACCGGCGCCGCAAAGGCCGCGGGCAGCTTCGCAACCCAGCCCTCAACCGCTGTGCCACCGGGGAGGCCCATATACTGATTCTTAATCCTCAGAACAGTAGTAGGACTATTGCTACCTTCCCTTTATACAAGAGCTATGCACTGAGAACCTTTGTAACTCTCCAAGTTTTCATTGCTGTAATTTGAACCCAGCCAGATGGGTTTTCAAGCACATACTTTTAACCCTTAGGAAACACTTCTAGTTTTACAAATGGTTTAAACTTTCCCTAATTCCAGAAAGTACTTAAGGCGTTTTCTAAGGAAATAAACTGAATGAAAAACCTTCAAGATGCATTTTTCTGTTTCTGCCACAAGAGGGCAGCATAGCATTGATGAGGTACTGGACATGAAGTGCAGCTAACCTGTCATCTTTTGATATCAACTTTTTTAGAACTGGGACAGAATGGGGTAGGATTTACAGTTATTTGCAAAATAGATTCATTGTAAAGGATATTCATGAATTATAAGGCCATACCCTTGATAAATCTGAGATTACCAGTGCCATCAAGGTAATTCAACTCTCCCCAAGAAATTAAAAATATTCTATAAATGAAGGAAAGAAGCACAGAAGAGTATTGCTGATTGTTAAAGATTACATTGAAATTCTCATAAATGTCTCAATTTGAGTCTAGCTATTATTTCACTAGAAGGGAAAAATAAGGCTTATTATGAATAATAGAATAATAGTTTTTGCTCTTATTCCTGTAAAGATCAGTAGATTAAGGGGTAGAATTTTTATTAGGTGTACTAGAAGTTATACCTGTGAAATATGTTCCTCCAAATATATGTAATTGTTTAAAAGGTCATTCTCCCTTGACCCACCCCTTCTCTTCTTAGCCTGGCATCTTCCTGTAGCTGAGCTAAACCATGTTGAAAGTTAATCCCAGGAGGGTATTAGCCATCAGGTCCATCTGCTGGGCATGGATTATGGTGCGGCACAGGAAGATTCCTGGAAGGGGACAACACTCTCTGTCTCTGGGACACTCTGTCCCAGCCTTG